GCCCGGTATCGGGCCCTGGCAGCAATTATACCTGGCCCTCGTCTTGTAAAAAAAGAATTTACCGGGCTGCGGTCTGATAAAAGTTGTGAACCACTGCTGTAGATCAACTATAGAAGATTTAAATAATTCATTGTGGTGAAGATTCATAATGTTAATATATATAATTAATAATAATTCATAATAGCACCCCATACTATCTCTCTAAGGTTTATTTTAACATTATCCTCCCACCCACGTGTAGGTCTTCCTAGTGGTCTCTTTCCTTCTGGCTTTCCCACCAATATCCTATATGTATTCTTCTTTGTCCTATTCTTGCTAAATATCCTGCCCACCTCATCCTCCTTGACTTGGTCATCATACTTATACTTGGAGAAGAGCACAAGTTATGAAGCTCCTCATTATGCAGTTTTCTCCAGCCTCCTCTCACTTCCAAATATTCTCCTCAGCACCCTGTTCTCAAATACAATCAATCTATGTTCCACCCTTAATATCAGAGACAAAATTTTACACCCATACAGAACCACAGGCAAAATTATAGTTTTGTATATTCTAATTTTTATGTTTTTGGACATGAGACGAGAAGACAAAAGGTTCTGGACTGAGTGGTAACAATCATTACCCAAATTCAATCTCCTTTTAATTTCTTCCTCAGTCAGGTTTTGATTTGTTACTGTCGTTCCCAATTTTTTTTAACTATGTCACATTTTCAAATTTCTACTACGGAGGAGTATCTTGAGCTATTCCTGAGTGAGCCTGTACCCACAACAGTAATTAAGGCCCACTCCATTTCTTTCCACTGCTAGGCCAGCACCTGGTGTCACCATCTAACGCCGGAACTGGACGGCAACTTATATGACACATTGATTCGACGGATAGTCTACTGTAACAGGCGTTTTCTTGAGAGACGATCTTCGGCAGTTAGTGAAAACGTTAGATGAACAGGCCGTCGGCAAAGTCGTCGGTCACACAATTAGAATATCTTACATGAGCATCTGCAAATTTTATATCTAGTAACTAAGCCTATCCTTGCAATTATGTCTGCCTGCGTGGTTAGCTCTGTTACCTATAACCATGCGCTTTTCGTCAGTGGATCTGTACATCCACTCCCCCATACGCCTTCATGGAATAGTGTTTAATTAGTTAAGCAAAGAGACAACTTTACCTTTTACTGTAGTAACATTTTCCTTATTGGGGTTGAAGTAATATGTTTATCAGAGCGGATGTAGTGCAGTCTATATACAACTTATGAAAATGTTGTTGCAGTAATGGGATATATTTATATATTGGAATTAATTATATATGTATTCAATTTTCAGTAATCTAAATACTAATCAGTTGGATTAAAATTTCACATGAAACTCTAAGGGTGGCCGTACATCAACTGCGTCAAGTAAGCTTCAAGATATGAGACAAAAGACCCAGTCTTGCTTCATTCGTGATTCGTCAGCATGAAACTGACGTCAGCATCATGTCTTAGACCGGTGTGCGGCGGTTTTCATATTCTCATTCGTTTCAATTGTGTTTCTTTCTTTGCGTCATGTCGCAGAAATCGTGTTTTGACTGTTACATGTCTTGACGCATGCCGGTGTGCGACCTATCTTAAATAACACCTAAAACAGGGCCTACTAAAAGCAATAATAAATTCTTCTTTCGGGTTTTGGGGTTCCGTTGTTTTTAATCTGCCGGCCACAGTGGCCTCGCGGTCTAAGACATGAACTGTCTTCGCTCGCTCGGACACTGAGATCGTGGTTTCGAATTCCACTCAAGGCATGAATGTTTGGTGTGTGTGTATGCGCTCATTCTGTGTTTGTGTTGTCCTGTGTTTAGCTAGAGGCCTTGTGACGGGCTGATTCCCGTCCAAGGAGTCCTACCCTCTTTGAAAAATGATTACGGAACTGAATGAGAGATCAGAGCCCTGAATGGGTGGAAGAGCCATTTTAAAAATGTTTTTAATCTGAGTCTTAGATCAGCCGGAGATCAGCTATACTTACTAAAGACTGTTTTTAGTCGCTCCTGAAGAATTTCAGTATAGTACTTTAAAGTAGGCTTTGGCTTATTTTATCTGCATCCATTCTAATTCGTAACTCATGAACCAATCTACACTGCATAACCTAGAGTTCGCAATGGTCTCGCTAATATACCAGAAGGTGGTAGACTCGTCCTTATACAAAACACAGCACCCCTCTGGATTAACTTCCACTGCAGGTATTGTTGTGCAAGTTATGTTGAATATTAATGACTATTACTGCATACAGTTTGTTGAAATTTCAAAGGGCAATATGTTAAGAGCACCCTCATCAAAATATTTTATTTATTAACTTCAAAAATACTGAAAAGAGAGCTACAGGTGTTAAGACATTGCATAGCTCGGGCAGTTGGGGCGTACGCTAGCGTAGTTCGTTGTGTCGCTATGCTACAAACTAGAAACGTCGTGGGTTTGGTTCCCGATGATATCATTGGATTCTTCAATTTACCTAATCCTTCCAGCCGCACAATGGTCCTGATGTCGACTCAGGCTCTAACAGACATGAGTACCAGTAATCTTCCTGACGAAAGGCTGACAACCTCACATCTATCTTTGAGCCGATTGTCTAGAAAATGTGGGAGCCTCGACGTCTCATAACACTGGGCTTCCATAGCCTGTTACAGGGATATCTTTACCTTTTGTAACTCAGGAAGTTAGGCAAAAGCTTCTCTCTGAGGAGTCTCGTTCTCAAGTCAGCATGACTTCATGTTATATTCGTGATGGACGAATTGGCACTGAAAGACGGTTTCCTCTGATTTTCTTCTGTTTTCATCTGAAAAGCTCCATCACGTCATCCATCTCTCACCCCCCCCCCTAACACGAGCAATGGCCCTGATTGGACAACAGACTTTCACATCATTAGACTTTAAGTCTGGGGCTTCATCTCTGAGTCCTGCAGTTTGCTGCTTTCTGAATAGGGAAGTTAGTTACTAACTTGATAGAATGACAATACGGATTAAGCTTTGATGCTGTCTAGACTAACTTTCTCGGCAAAGGTGGACATTGTAATACTGCTTTAAGCATACCATCTAGTGTTTCCATCTGTCACGTGTGTAACGTGTACGTATCTACTTACTAACGTACATACAGACCACGCGTAACAACAGAATAACGACAGAAAAGCAAGTCCTCGCCTTTAACATAAAAGGTAAAGCTATCCCTGTAACAGGCTGTTGAGGCCTTTAGGTTTGTGAGACTTCGAGGCTCCCACATTTTCTATAAAATCGGCTCAGATGGTGGTGAGATTGTCAGCCTTACTTGCCGGCCGCCCTTTACTCCCAGGAAGATTTCTGGTACTCATTTCTGTTAGAGGCTGAGTCGATCCCAGGACCGTAGTGGTGTTGGAAGGATTAGGTCAATTGAAATATACACTGGCCTCATCGGGACTCTAACCCGCGACCTCCGGCTTAGCATGGTGCCTCAACCAACTACGCTACCAGGTATAATGGAAGAAGTAGTAGTAATAAGGTAAAGTTATCCCTGTAAAGGGCCGTGGAAGCCCATATGTTTGTGAGACATCGAGGCTCCCACATTTTCGGGCTATTTTTATGTATTAACCTGGTATTTTTACCTGAAAATAGAAGAGAAGTGACTTCGGGCGAGATAGCCGGCATTCATACCATTATAGCTGGGAGGCAATATCAAGCGACAAGCTTACAACGAAGCCTGTCAGAGGTGAACACACTGGGAATAAAGAAAATGAATGCATAGTCGGAATTTCTCTTCCTAGTATTGTTAGCGTACTTAAGTCAAGAAATTTATAATGGGTCTTACATGCTGCTGGAATAGATACAGAAAATAGTATTTTATACGAAACATACATAAATATGGAATACCGAGTCGGATATTAGTGAAATTTACTTATTTAAATTAAGTTTAGGCAATTTAAATTTGGTTTAACCGGTTTCATATATGGTATAATGGTGAGCTTTTATTTAACAATGTTGAAGATCTAATATTTTCTGATTAATTACCGTATTTACGCATGTATAGGCCGCACATTTTTTGCCAAACATTCAAGAGGAAAACTGGGGTGCGGCTTATAATCGAAATATTCGAAATCACACACATTTTTTTCGTCAACGTCGAATTTTCCCCCTGCTGCTTGATTTCCTTGTTCTTGTGCGTAACGTACCACTTGAAGTTTAAATTTAGACGTATAACCTGCTCTTACTCGACCCATGTTTCACTCAGAACTAACCAGGCAAGTCAAGTAAAGGCGAAAATGTTATAACTCTCCCCCGCAATGCCTTTGTTCCGAGCGGTACCGTTATTTTCGCTAGTTGCGAACTTAGGAATGTTAAACGTTGCCAAATTTCGGAATAATTTCTACTCCTGAAATAATATTCCAAGAAAATTATTTTTTCTGTAATTTCTGTCTGAAAATTGTGCTGCGGCCTATACATACGTAAATACGGTATACGTAATTTATTTTCATTCCCCAGACGACGTGAGGCGTCGCATGATTGCGTCTGTGAATTCTTGGATGGACTCTGCTTTTGTCAGAAAAGTTTGAAGACCAACAGGAATATAACATAACTGCACCATGCTGACATCTGTGAACGGAGACTGCATCGTGCCAGAAGTTCTGGCGGGCAAAGGGAAATCTAACGACGTCTTCCAGAACCAAGTGATACCACCTCGGTTCGGCCAGCGAGAACCTGAAGAATTAGAAGGTAAGGCCAGAATGACTTAACACTGTGGTAACATTATCCGAATAGTCAACGCTTCTAACATCAAAGCCTGACACCTGAGCTACATTTGTCTAGTAAATTTGGTCCCCAACGACCTTCTGCATATAACTGAGAATTTTCAGCTCTTCAGTAAAGTTCCCAACTTTTATTCAGGAGGAGTTCGACTCGAACGTTGTTCAGGGAACAGGCTACCTTCATCACTTCTCACATTTTATTTTGTATCATTAATTTGCGTTTGATTTAACATATTTTCCAGTAACTGAATATATCTAGCGCTGAGTAATGAGATAATAGTGACTAATGCATTTAAAAGGGTGTTGAAAGCCGCGGCAATGGCAGAATTTAAGGTACTATCCCAGCATTTATCTGGAGGGACTGAGGAAACCCAAGAAAAACTTCATTTTAGATCGTCGGTGCTCTGGACGAGATTCAAACTAACGTCTTTACAAATATATGTCAGAAACGTATACCGCTTGAGTCAAATTACTCGGCTCATTAAGCTCCCAAAGCAAGCGACCTGCGTAGTCTAGGGGTAACATTCCCACCTCATGACTCAAGGTACGCGGGTTCAAACCCGGCGGAGGTCCGGGAGGGACTTTAAGCCGTGGGTCCCGTATCGTAGATTTACGGCACGTAAAAGAACCTCATGTCTTTAGGAGGCCTCTGAGCGAAATTGTTAGGTAAAACTTTCCCGCCCAAGTAGTTTCCCAACGGGGCTGATAGCACGCACCGTCTACCGGTAGGGGATGGGACAGTAGAAATTAAAGGGGGACGCACAGTGGACCAATACCTGGTCTAAGTGCATGGGGGAAACCCACCCCCTCCAATAACAACAACAACAAGCTCCCAAAGCAAACACAATGCCCTACAATAGGCCACGGCTTATCGTTACATTTACTTTCTGACACATTATTGTTGAGTAGCATATTGTTAGGCAACGACCCGCTTAAGCGTGTGACAACAATAAGGGAAGTGGATGTGTTTTCTGCGTGCTCCGTGCCGAAAGATTATAGAGGAGATTAATTGATTGTGATTGTGTTATTTTTCGTGACGCAGCTCCCTCATACGTGACAGTGTCACAGTGTTGCAGAGTATGTTCTAGGCCGCTTAAAAATATGGAAATATCGATTTTTAACTATGTTAATCCAACAGGATGCTCCCAAGGACATACTTCTTAGCATTCTATTTTATCGCAAAGCATTGTCTTCTACTACCTGCACGACTCGCAGTTTACCAGTTGACAGGTGTAGTCAGTTACTTTTGAATATTAAAACAGCATTCATTGCCACAAAATTGACGCATATTCAAACCAGTACTCATATTATTATTTATATTGTCACATGCACGTATTAGTGACGAAGACGCGGATTTTGATTAGCAATCGATTTATTGGGTAACTGTCAGTTATAACTAGAAAGAATTTTGACACTCCAGATTATTACAGGAACAATAACACTTAAAGCAAAGTCTTCAGCACTTCAATTCTAATCTTCGTTTGTAGCCTCCGGAACTCTGCTATTAGATTCTGTCAGTCCGTTATCTTCGTTAGTCTTATACTCTTCTCTTGGGCCATGTAGAAGTCACAACTGGACTCCACTCCGCAATAGTCTCTCAGTTGCCTTGTACTCTCCTTGAATCTCGAGTGTTATAAATTATTTTGAAAAATTACTATAAGCGTATAATATAAATTGTAAGTATCTGAAACAGACATAAAAATATTTTAACATAAAAATTGTAAGTAAATCGGATAGAGAGGGTACTGTATAACAAGGAATTTCGTGTATTTTGCAAATCACAGATTATTGTTAGATTACTACAGGGCATGTAGCACGAAAGGGGGAGACGAGGAATGAGTATAGGATATTGGTGGGAAAGCCAGAAGGAAAGAGACCACTGGGAAGACCAAAGCATAGGTGGGTGGACAATATTAAAATGGATCTTAAAGAGATAGGATGGGATGGTATGGATTGGATTGATCTGACTGAGGACAGGGACCAGTGGAGGGCTCTTGTGAACACGGTAATGAACCTTCGGGTTCCATAAAATGCTGGGAAATTCTTGAGTAGCTGCAGAATTGGCGGCTCCTCAAGAAGGGCTTAGCTCCATGAGTAAGTAAGTAAGTAATGGGGTCACGATATGCTGGATATATGACCAGGATTTGGAGGAAAGGAATGCGTACAGATTTCTAGTGGTAAACTTATTGGGAGGTGACCACTTGGAAGACCAAAGAGAAAGTGGATGGATAATATTAAGACGAATCTGCGAGAAGTATGTTGTGAGGGTGCACGGCGTTTAATCTTTACTACATGTGCATGTGTGCCTCTAATGACAAGCCACTGCTGTTCTCTTATGTACTGATTTTATACTTAATATTGTAAACTGGATGACCAGATGGTAGCTAGGTAACGGACCGGTACACACCCTGCGATACACGCACGCAACAATGGAACAACGAGGTTATGCAACCCGCTTGTATGCAACGGCTAAGTAAACACACTTACGCGCAGGTGCACGCTGCTGAATAAAGACAAATGTGGTGTTCTTGTCGGGAATTGAACCTCGGTCGTCCAACTCGTAGTCCGTCGCCATACCGACTGAGCTATCCTGGCTTATATATACACTCTAGTCATTACTGGTGCAAATTTCAATGGAAATTCTGGAATGGTAACGTGTGCAAGTCATGTTTCAGTTTTACAATTTTGCAAGCTCATTTCTTGTACACGAACCAAAAGTCCTTGACCTCAGCGCTGCGTGCTGACTTCCATTTCATTCCAGCAGTAGTTTCAAACCTCAGTAAGAACAGTTAACATCTTCAGTCTCTCCTTTTTACAGTGTAAAAAAACAAAATATTTCCATTTTATACCATCAAAAGTTCCTAATTCAAGTCTGGCCGGTCACGGTAGCCGAGCGGTCTAAGGCATGTACTGTCTTCGCTCGTTCGGAAGCCGGGATCGTGGGTTCGAATCCCACACAAAGCATGGATATTTGGTATATGTATGTGTGTATTCTGTGTTTGTGCTGTCCTGTGTTTAGGTAGAGGCCTTGCGACGGGCTGATCACTCATGCAAAGAGTCCTACTGTCTGTAAAATGATCAAAAGTAAAAAACAAACCGTGTGGAGGCGGGGTCGAATACTTTCACCGTAGCCCTGCGAGTCTTAGAAGGCCACGAAAAAGGAACACAGTACATGGGGTATAACTGGGCCACCTTGTTCCTGGGGGGGGGTATAAGTACGGGGAACTGGCTCTCGAAGTTTGGGAAATCTCGAATCTGAGACAACAAAATATGGTCATGAGTCCCAAGGGACTCGGACCTGAGAATGACTGCGCTGACGAGAGGCAGGAGCAACTATGAACGACAGATCCATCCTCTCGTTAGAGAAGACGTTATTTAAGGACTATGACCGCAAGTATTCAAGTGGAAAAAAAATTACTGGTCGTGAGTCTCAAGGGGTTTGTCACCAAGATGAACTGATTGGCGGTAAACCGCCAGTCGTAAAGTAACTCTGACTCTGACTCTGACAGTTCAGAGCAGAATAGAATCGAGTCAGAATAGAGTCAGTCGTAGTTCAGAGCAGAATGGATCGAGTTCTAGGAAATAATTTATTGTGATTACGAGGAATGGTAAAGGAATGATCAATAAATCCAATCATCGAATCCAACCTCCGTTATTATTAGTCACTCCCATAAAACAAGACAATACGTTATTAAACGTTAGCAATATAGTTCATGTTCTCTCTACATTCTGCAATTATCCGAAGTCTTATGTTGTGAAGGAAGTATTTTCATGACTTTTTCGTCTCGTCCTCTTAGTTGAGGAACCTCTAAAATACAGTGGCGAATAGAACTACAGGCGATTGATCTGCCGGAAACAGTACGTAAGGAATGATTCACGAAGACAGGAAGCGCACGTTCCCCAACTCAGTGCGTTGACATTAACATGTCCATGAATTCTCACGAACTGCGACCGTTTGAATTCAATATGAAATGACGTTAAGTCACGTGTCTTTAAAGCGTCAGATGTGTATGACTAACGAAGTGTGACGTTCTAATTACGTATTATTTTCCAGTATCACTGAAGGATGGTGACTCTGAAGTAGAATTTCAATAATTTACCAATTTCCTCGAGCAGGGGCCTTCTTGAGAAGATAACAGTTACCTAGTTAAGTAAAAAAAAAAAAGGCTTGTCTTCTATGAAACCTGAAGATTAATTTTTTTTCTCCCTTGGCACTACAGCCCCAGTGGGCCTAGGCCTACCTCCATGAACTCCGTTCACTTCGGTTTTTCTAGATCTTACACATTCGGTAGGAATCCTTGGGCGAGTGATCAGCTCGTCGCAAGGCCTCTACCTGTACACAAACATAGAAAAACGCACACAAACATCCATGCCCTGAGTGGGATTCGAACTCACGATCCCGGTTTCCAACCGAGGAAAGACAGTGCATGCCTTAGACCGCTCGGCTACCGTGACCGGCTGAAGGTTCATTACTGTTGTTTATAAGAATCTGCCACGGTTTCATAGTTGAACCCAATTTACTTCTTATGGAGTTCAGTACTATAAAATGGTGTCCAGTCTCTTGTCACTTCCTCCGTTTCAGGACTAAATATTCCCCTCAGCAACTTGTTCTCAAAGCCCTTCATGCAAGAGACAAAGTTTCATGTCCATACAGAACAAAAGACAAATTTTCATTTTTGTGTTGCATATTTTGGCGTTTAAGAGAGAGAAAGAAAACAAAATTTTTGTTGAACGATACCAGTCACAGTATTTAATATATTCTTGATTTATTATTAGATAAAATAATGATTTATTATTCACTAAATAGTATTTTCAGTGGAATGAAGCTAAACTCTTGCGTCCCATGGTTTTACAGTGACTAAAGCTGCAGACTTTTCGTGAACTATTGTGAAGGTTCTCTAGATTAAAAAAGCTATTAAAAGCAATTACTTGCGCCTCACATGCACAAAGCTTTGTCTTGGAAGTGTAAGTCTCACTTCCATTAACTTTGTTAATGTAAAACACAAATGTCGTAAGTGGTCAAAACTTAGCCTCTTAGCTTCTTTAGTCATCATCACCACAAACGTCATATCGGTTTGACAGATTATTCGTTATTGATCATACGAACTGCTAAAGTTTCACAGTATCAAATAATACTGTTAAGATCGAAACATGTGATGATACAGCATACTTACTTACTCATGGAGCTGAGCCCTTCTGGAGGAGCCGCCAATTCTGCAGCTACTCAAGAACTTCCCAACATTTTATGGAAACCGAAGGTTCACTACCGTGTTCACAAGAGCCCTCCACTGGTCTCTATCCTGAGCCAGATCTATCCAATCCATACCATCCCATCCTATCTCTCTAAAATCCATTCTAATATTGTCCACCCACCTACGCCTTGGTCTTCCCTGTGGTCTCTTTCCTTCTGGCTTTCCCACCAATATCCTGTACGCGTTCCTCGTCTCCCCCATTCGTGCTACATGACCTGCCTATCTCATCCTCCTTGACTTGATCATTCTAATTATACTTGGAGAAGAGTACAAGTTAAATGGTACAGTATAACCACAATAAAATTAATTTTGACAAATCTATTAATTTCATTCCTTCTAGTTTTATTGTTAAGAAAATTGTAGATGTGTAGACGGCAACTGTATACCGTGACCAGTATGTTGAATTCACATTCATTTTCATAGCCATTTTTATTTTTGCTCAGTTGTGTTCATTTTAAGAGAAAATTTGCATAGGAACTAACGTTAACCTTTCCTTGTATATATACAATATATGTATGTATGTACATGTAGAGTAATGCATACATCATCATCATCAGTAATCTGTCAGACGACAGGTCCTCCACTTGATGCGATCTAGAGCTTTCTCCTTCAAATGACAGTATCCTCTTCTGTCCCCAAGGTCATCCGGCATCTTCTTATGTCTTCTTCCTCGTCTTCTTGTCACTTCTATCCGCACCTCTATCTTTCCTTCAATAACTTTTTTTAGAAGGCAGTTTCTGCGTAAAACATGACCAATCCAATTAGCCTTCCGTTTTCTTATTTCGTGTAGGATATTCCTCTGCTCACTGACTCTAATTAACACTTCTTCATTTCTCACATAATCATACAGTATATATATATATATATATATATACATACAGAGAGAGACAGAAAGGTGGAGGAAGGGGTAGAAAGAGGAGAATCATTTGATAGAGACCTGCATACCGAATTCTTGTAGTTTATTAATATTGATAATTTCTTTCTTGGCTCCTTTTAACCTGTGTTTAGGCAAAACTTGCTAGGAATTAAATAACAGGAAAATCGTCAGAAACAACGACAGAAGAGGTCCTGGACATTTTGTACCAGTGAACAAAGCATTGATTTGTGTAATGTAAAATGTAAATGTCGCATATATTTCACCAATTGCATCGAATGTAAAATGCGCACTTATCTGTGTATGCATGTATGTGTAAACACACGTGCACACGTGTGAACTAGTCTTAAAAAGAACTGTACATAACTACCCATGTGTGGAAATGTAACGTAGTGATCAAGGGGAAAAATCGGTGGGGGGGGGGCCTAGAACGCTCTGGGGTACACGTTACGCTTCAGAAAACTTGTAAATACATCTGCATACGTAACACGTGCCGTAAATTTCCGGGTCATTTAAATCGGAGAGAATATCAAATCACAGAATAAAACAACTGAATCCCAAATGATGATGGCCGTGCATGAGGAATAATTCAGTAAAATTACTTGTATCTCGGTTGTGGGTTGGTTGGGACAACAGTAAAAATGACCAGATCATGCAATGAATTATGATAAATTTAATACTACTAGTGGAAGACTGACGTAGTCGTGGAGGAACCCCATAATTTAAAAATGAATTCGCCAACCAGAATTCCACATATCCGACCTCGTCAGTGGAACTTGCAACATTAATGGAACCGCTGTTCCAAAGGAGAGTTCTTTAACAACACCGGTACTTATTTGGGAACGATTAGGCACTGATTACTAATAGAACATTGGAGCTCTACACTGAGGATCAATTTTTGGGATATTATCCATCATCTTCCACTTTAGTCTACTTTTTTTCTTAAAAAAATAAGACACTTATGATATCACCTTGCTGTCTGTGTGTCCGTGTGTCTGTATAACCCCCTAATTTTATCGTTTTATACGCTGTCTATGGAGTATCAAAGGAAAGTAGGCGTTTAGTTCCTCCCAGAACTTCTTCTTATTTTAAGAAAAGTTTCGGAAATTGGGCTCTGTCTTCGTCCTCAGGCATAAAGTCCCTGTCGATTGAGTTAGTTCACGCTTAGCTTCTGAATTGCAACATAGTGATACCAAAACCCGCAGGAAGTCGTAATACGGAAAGATAATTCTTTGGCGTTATTTAATGACATCGGCACCGAGACTATAAATTACATGAACGATAGGACGATTAATGAAGATGGAGCAGTTAGTGGAATGGAAATTGGCATTGGAAACAGAAGTACTTATGTGAATTTTCTCCAAGTGCCACTTTGTCCACCACAAATCCCACATGACCTGAAATGAGATTGAAGCCGGGTCGAAGCAGTGGGAAACTCATGACTAACCACCTGAGCTGTGGCACAGCCTACATAATGTAATCAAACAACTACTCTCTTGGTCACGTGGGAGTTATTACATAAGCAACTGGATTATGAAATATATATCTCTTGCTGATATTTAAATACTAAGATGAGGGATCTTGGATTAACTAAATAATTAACTCAGTTGAAGCTGAACAGTCACTCAGTCATTCAAGAAGTTAAATGTATGTTAAGGAAACCGAATGTACATTACCTTATTCAAAATAACCCACAGTCCACATGACCCCAAATATTTAAGGTCCATTTTAACATTACCCTCGCCTCTATTCATAGATCTTCAAAGTCGTGTATTTCCTTCCAGTTTCCCGATCAAAACTGTAGAACTGACATGATGTCATCAATACAAGGTGAAACTTAAAATAAAAAAGAAATATTTCCGCAGAAGGGCGTGCGCCGATTTGTAGCATGTAGTCATTTGAAGTGAAAGTGGCAATAACCCTCATTTAATGCACATCTTTGTAAAACTGAGTCTGTTTAATCTAAAATGGCGTACTATGGCTAAATGCTGTATACTCGAACAGATCAGTTAGCTTGGGTTTAGAACTCTTTGCTCATTCCGCCNGTCACAGACCAACATAAGAAATGTAAGATTTGAGGCTTTCACGGCGGTGACTATGAAGAAAGCAGTCTTCTGGGATTTGGCGCCGTGTATATACACGGCGCCAAATCCCAGAAGACTGCTTTCTTCATAGTCACCGCCGTGAAAGCCTCAAATCTTACATTTCTTATGTTGGTCTGTGACTAATCATTCTTGCACAAAATGGCTGCCGTATATATGAACCTATGTCATTTGTTCTGCTGATCAGTGAATGCTTCGTTTAGTTATTTTACGAGCTTATTTCAATTATTCTTTTTCTTATTTTCTTCCCACGCCATTTCAATTCATCTCAACTATGAAATCAGCATTTACTTTTATTTTCGTCCGCCTTTCATTCTTTTTCGTTTTAATTTCTCCCACTTTCGAATGCCTTTATGCATTTTAGTTTCATAACTTGTACTCTTCTCCAAGTATAATTAGAATGATCAAGTCAAGGAGGATGAGGTGGGAAGGTCATGTAGCACGAATGGTGGAGACGAGGAATGCGTATAGGATATTGGTGGGAAAGCCAGAAGGAAAGAGACCACAGGGAAGACCAAGGCGTAGGTGGGTGGACAATATTATAATGGATCTTAGAGAGATATGATGGGATGATATGGATTGGATAGATCTGGCTCAGGATAGAGACCAGTGGAGGACTCTTCTGAACACGATGATGAACCTTCGGCTTCCATAAAATGCTGGGAAATTCTTGAGTAGCTGCAGAATTGGTGGCTCCTCAAGAAGGGCTCAGCTCCATGAGTAAGTATGTAAGTAAGTACTTTATACTATGAATGTAATATTTAATTAATCAGTATTGAATACCGTCCACTTGCGTTAGTTGATCCAAAGGATTAATCTTTTTATCAACGTATTTTCATAGATACCAATCCACTAAAATAAAAAAACTATTAAAATAACAGTTTTATATATATATTAGATTTGTTTTGAAGGATAAAAGTTAAAACACATTAATATACGAATAAAGTTGAATTAAAAAATCCTTATAAATGGAAACTCTATTCATCACACCCACGTTTACTCTGTTGTTCTGAATATGTTTTGACACTTTTTGTTTCGTCTTTCAGAACTCGCGTTGAAACAAAAATCACTCGATAATCAGAAGTACCAAGAATCACTCAGAAGATCTTTGGAGGAACCGGAAGAATTCTGGAAGGAAGTCGGTCAGTGTGTAACGTGGACCAAGCCTTGGGACGAAGTTTTAGACAACACAAAACAACCTTTCACGAAATGGTGAGTATGCTGTCCAGGCGTATGAGAGTTTTGTGGGCCCCTGCTGGGAGGCAAGCCAGTCGTCTGCCTGACTGTAACTTTGGCAAAATGTCAAAATTTAAAAATAAGGAAACATTAAAAAAGGGCAGTTGGAAAGATCAGGTCAATTGAAAAATCCAGCGACCTCATCGGGAATCGAACCCACGACCTTCTGGCTTGTAACTTAGTCTCAACCAATTACTCTACCGCGTGCTCCAATAAAGAAATATAAAAAAACAAAATAACTCCGTGGCCTGTAGTCCGCAAGTAAACTATACCGACCGAGCGACCGTCGGTTGTCGGCGAAGTTAGTGCCAACTTCAGCGTGGTCGCGTAGTCAACGCAACGAATCCCCACGGCCGTTAATTTCGGTTTTCTAGACCGAAGACTACTTTTCCATTCAAGTAGCTCCTCAATTGTCCTCACGAAGCTGAGTGGACCCCTTTCCAGACCCACTACTTCTCAGAAAATTTTGTAGCGTCGGGAGTCGAAACCGGGACATCTGCATCTGTAGCCAGGGAAAGTATTTGTTTTAAAATAGGCTTACAACCCGACTACTGTAGGACAATCGACTAAAATAGAATTAAGCGGATTAAAAAAAGTTTGCTAGCAAATTTTCTGACTGCCTCCCCCCTTTTGTAAAAATCCTTGTGAGGCGTATGAGTTTCCATACACGAATTGCTTCAGAAGCAACATATCTTGCATAATGTAGGTTAATGAACTGCATGTAGGAAACAGACGTAAAGAAGGCAAAATAATTATTTTACTAGGCTAAGTCTTATTTGATCCCTAATCTTGATGCATTCATTCTCCTGAATTCGGTAACCGTTGGATTTAAAACAGAAAATCTACAAAATATTATATTATTTAATAAATTTGTAAAATCTATAACCAGTTTCTTTCCTATCTTTATTCTTATTCTCTATAAAGGAAGATGGATGTATGCCACGTTGTGGTTCCGTTGTTTGAAGAACAGGACTTCTTAGTGTTGTACTGTTGTTCAGGCCACGCTGTGTTGTTATACACAACATTTATCTTTCACACTGGAAGGCGTTAATAACCTTTTATACTAGTACTAGTGTGACGGACAAGGACGGACCAAGTCAGAAATATTTTAATCTATTATTGTATATTTCGTTAGCCTTTAAAACATCGTTTTTCTTTTTGTGTGACAGTGGCTTAATTTTTAAGATGATATTAATGACGAGGGAAAATAATTAGTTAAGAAGCTAGATTCTGCAATCTAAACCACGTGCAAGGTGACGTAGTTGTTAACCCACAAAAGATGGATAACTTCAGAAAATATCAGCGACCTGAAAACTAATTTTTGTTCCTCTTGTAAAATTTGATTCCATTAACGCATGAACTGTCCAGACTAAACAATTCTGTTGACACCAGTAGTCTACCATGAAATATCACGGTCGTAGAAAGAAAAGGAAAATCTTTAGGGTTTGTTTTACATAATCAGATATTATCTATGTTAAGAACGTTCAGAAATACCAGCTGTTCGGTTACAAAATTCAAAATTGCTTCTGAAAATAATCTTTATAATAGGATTTTCGAGCTCCATTTCCTGGGATACATATGTAGGCTTAAAATCCGCCCACTTCACGCTCACTGCTGAACGCAATATCGAAATTCAGTTCCATGTACGACACTTTTTCCACACATGGGTTTATAATAACACCCACTTATTGAACTTCTCCCACAAAACTGGCTAAGAATATAACATACAAATGAAATGAATACATTTGCCTATTTGATATCCGGTTATTGTCCCAGCAAACTCACAAATAAAACAATGGACAACCATAGGTTGATGATTGCTGATTTTTGTACTTCATCCACTGTACCGTATTCTAAAACACAACGCTTCGGAAGCTTTATCTGCTTCCGTCTTCAGGTGAATGTGGAGACATACTTTGTTGGGTCCCTTAGGTGCCTCCCATCCCCAACTTGAGGTCGGTAATACATCCAGCTTCCGAAACGTTGTATTCCAAAACTATTGATAAGAAAGAGATATTACGTACTGTTTCTAATGCCGGTATTTATCGTTTAAGTGACAAAGTTAGTACAGTTTACCTAGTGTAATGTTTTTTCGATAATTCCACCGTCAACATCAATGCACTTTGAAATTCGTGTGAGGACATGGCTTGTTGCTCGTCTGAATGCATCTTGGCATTCCTTTATGCGGGCGAAAACATCCGTCATGTGATCGAGAATCTAGTGCTGAGGTAAAGAATGGTGGAGCTGTACCTCCACTAACCACTACGTCTTCATGGCCTAGTGCTTAATTAATTAAGCACAGGGACAGTTTACATTTTACCTTATATTGGAGCCTCAATAACACAGTCTGTATAGCGACTGACTATGGGCTGGACGACAGAGGGATCGGATTTCGAATTCCGGTAGTGTCAAGTATTTTTTTCTCCACATTGTCCAGACCGGCTCTGGAGTCCACCCAGCCTTCCATCTAATGAGTACTGGGGGCTCTCTCTCCGGGGGATAAAGCGGCAAGGGTGTGAAACTAACAACTCACCTCCAACTAGTGCCAAGGTCAAGAATGTTGGAGCTATACCTCCACTCCCCCATACGTCTTCACGGTGTAGTGCTTAATTAGTTAAACACGGGAACAATGTTACCTTACTTACCTTGTAGTAAAGTAAAATCATTTTAAAGCATAACATGAATTGAACAGAAAACTGCCTTTATTGGGCCTTTTTTAAGTGTCCTCTAACAAACTGAAAAATTTTTAATGCGGTAACGTAGCGTAAGAATAGGAGTTTGACAGACAGTTGTCTGTCAGGATATTAGTTACTTCATGTTAATACAGTTTTGTTCCCTAATGTGCTTCCTGTACTTTAAAACTGTAAATTTTATCTAAAATGGGAAAGAAGCCTAGCAGTCAACAGAATCTACGTAGTACTCTTTACTAGAAAGAAAGGGAAAAAGTAAGAAAACAAATGTATAGAGAAGAAACAGAGAAATATGGAAAGTAAAAGGACATAAGAAGGAAATAATGAACGAATGAAGGGCAGAAACTAAGGAGAAAACAAAAGATAACCGGAATGACAACGTTAGGATACGATTAATTTAAATGGCGCAACAAAAGTTAGTACCCACATTCTGTTGCTGCATATAAAATTCTTATTACGACGACACTGAGATAAGAATAATAGTAGCAACAATACAAACTGAGAACGCGTAATCTAAACAGCGTCATACAGTGAACAGCGCCTTGGTAATCTTACAATTCTGGTGTTCACAGTCCTTGAGATATTCACCTAATTTGAACCCCCCTGTGGCTATTAATTCTCCCCTATAATATTGTTTTATCTGCTTTTACTTTATTGTTGTTCAGTTTTATAACCCTGGAAAGTGAGACATATTACTAATCACGTGTGAAATCTAGTTCTGGCAAGCAGAGTTACGTTACATCAAACACTGGATAAATACGTTAGATAACGAAAAGGGGTTTTGAAAACCGGAATTAAAGTTGATATTACATCTGTTTCTCAGTTAACTGTCGACATACAGATGTCGAAATATCTGAAAAATTCTCTAAATGTCGAAATAGACGAATGGTTACTAAAGGAAACAACTCTATGAAACTAAAACGGAAAATATCGAAGATTTTCGAGAAAGCTAAAAAAAATTACTATAAAATTTAAATAATCGACAACTTTAAATTAGGAGCCGAAATTTTTCGAAATGGCTAAAAGAGTCCAAACAAAGCCGAGATGATTCGAAAATATTCTTTCTGTAAGGAGCCAAGAAGACGAAAGATTTCGATGATCTTCAAATATTTCGACAGAAGTGAAATAATTTAGCAAATAATAAGATAACAAAAAAGTGTTGAAAAACGTGAAATTAAAAATAAAATGAAGTACGGTGCGGTAGCATTTGATGCGAGAGATGCGTCCTTGAAAACCTCGCACAATTCGAGATAAGTTTTCTGAATATATATAAAGTAAAGGGGATGTCGAATTTTTTTTAATTCGCGTTACTTCAAAATTTGCGCACAAAATGAGATTTTATTAATAATTTTTCATCGCACAATTCAAATCCGCATGAAGTGAGACTGCACTGTACACGACTGTAAATTCCCAGAAAATTGGAAGAGGTTTATGATATTTGTTGTATATGTTAAAGCTATATGACAAAAATATTCTGTTACTTTTGACGGAAACTTTTATCTTAAATTTTTATTTTAAACGATAATTTTGAGTGTAATTTTGAGAGTAATTGTGTTATGATATAAACAAACAGTGTCATATATTATAAGTCTTTTTGGCAATTGCTTTCAGTAGACTCATAGGAAAATCTAATACATGCAAATATTCCGAAAATAAAATGTTTCCAAAATATCTCTAAAACTGAAATATGTCCAAGAATTTCGGAAGTGTTCAAACAGACATTTACAAAACCTGTCTGCAAGCCATAATCCGTCGAAATTTAGAAATTTAGTTTCTACTCTGAAATAACTATCTTCGTAGTTCTGGCCTTCCTCGAACACTCGATAGTTGCTCAGCCGGTCAAGATGTTTCTTTCATTTTATACGACCCAGAATTTCATCAGTGTGTTCACAACAACCCAGCATCCTTAACAATTGAATCCATTCCACACTTTCATAATCTGTTTCTCAAATATTGCTTTTAATATTACCCAGTCTTTTATGACTAGATCTCTCCTCGCAGGTTCCTTCAACTGAACAGTGTAAGAGAAAGCTGATTTAGACATTGACACGGATATTTCATTCTTTTCCAGATTTAACCGTTTTATAATTTATAAAATTACACAGATTCCTTACTGCATTAATAATAATTAATATACAAATAAATAAATAATGACATATCATTGTATCATTCGAATCACAAATATTCAGCAATCCAAGCAATTCTCTGACTCTCGTTCTTATAAGATATGACTAGTTGTGAAGATTTAATACACATATACTTCGATCGAAAGTAATCTATTGTTATGCGCCAGAATTTTTCGTGATTATCTTTTTTCGTCTTATGAACAGGTTTGATTTTGTGGAAAAAATCAAAGTTATTCTTTAACTCTCGATAATCTGTCTGCTCGACCTGAAGTAGAAGAGACGACTTTCGATTATATCGAACATTTTATGTTTACAACGTCACCATCTGTTGTCGGCTTTTGTAATTACAATCAATCCATTACGAATTTAAATCTAAAATTTTCTTCTTCATTAGTATTTTGACCGAGTAACAAGATCGCTCGTTGTACTTCAAGTTACCCTGTGGTTAAATTTATAGAGCATTTTTCGTACTGTAGTGTGACTCACTACACATTACCATACTGGCCACTGAAGGTGGAAAAATGGCTCCTATAAGGAAACGAATTTTAAAATAAAACATGGAGCATGTATTGAAAACAATAATTCATATATATAAAGCGTACTGTTTTCTTACATTAGACGCCATGTACTCTGGTAGAAGTTTGCCAGCGTTGCGGAAAAACATACTGCCGCTGTCATCAGTGTCAAAGAGTAAGCAACAGTTTGCTTGAGGCTTACTGTCTGACCCTTAAGATGGAGCAGTACCTTCTTTCGAAATGTTGGTGAATATTTACTGGACTGCACGGCGTCACACCTCAGAAGATAGTAAGGTAACAGGTAAAGTTATCCCTGGATAATTAATTAAGCACCACAGCATGAAGACATATGGGGGAGTGAAGGTATAGCTACATTCTTCTTAACCTCTATAATAGATGGAAGTGAATGGTCAGCTTCATGCTCCTGCTACTTTCCCCTTTGGGAAACAGACTTTTCATAATCACTTCCCAGCAAGAAACTTATGGGATATAGTAGATGACTGAATTGCAGATAAAACAGCTCATGGAAATGCAGATATCATATACTAAATTGTTATGAACTCACCCCTCTCTTTTTTGTATATAGCTAGTTCTTACCTGCATTCGGGCATTTTGTGGTGAAGCTCATAATGTTTCATTTCAGACAAAAGAATAAGTAGTATTTTGTTTTGTATCAAGCTGTATACAGCTTTATGTAGTGCAGTTAATTTAAACTGTGTGATCTAAATGGTTTCCAGTTTACATGAATGATCATCCCTTGTTTACTGAAGTATTGAAATTTCACTGAAGCTGTTCATAAATAGTTTCGTACATTTTCACTTTTATAAATAACATTGCTTTCACTGGAATGTCATTCTGAAATTTACTTTAACAGCTTTCATCCAATAGTTTATCTTTTCCCTTCATTTAGGAACCTCTGCTTGCCAAGTTCAAGGTTTTCCTGCCTTTCTTATTTTAATAAACCCTGCACCAATTTTACTTATTTGTTATAACCAGAACAAGCCCTGAGCCAAATTCAGATTACCTACAAACATGCTAAGCAGGGATTAGTAAATGTATTGAGAGTAACTATTGAAGCTTCCCAAAAGGTGTAAAGACTTCTGAGTCTAGAGGAACTAGAAATCACAGCTGGGATTTGAGATTATTACAGCAATTAATATCAGAATTATGGTCATCCAGGATTTAACACCATGTAGTGTATTAGTTCCACCCAGAAAATGGAGACAGCAGGTTCCTTCAAAATACTTGTACCAATCTACCAAATTATACACCATTACATCAAAGAAGGTCATCATATTGAATCTTCTGGGAAGTTCTGAATATCAGGTTAATATAAATTGTATTAAAATAAAGGAACCATTAGCTAGTCTATTTGTATTTGTGATTCTTTGAAAGATTTTTCCTTGTGAGAAGTTGACCAAGGAACACCCAGCAGGAGGTTATGGACAGTTATGTGTCAGGCCTTTACCATCCACAAGATGCTTAGAAGTTAATTTCTTATCTACATTAAAGCATTTGCAGAACTATTGTGAATGTTAACTAGGTATCTCTGCAAAACACAATAACTCTAAAATGCATCTCATTGACTCATTCTGAGATTAATCAAGTGCTGAGATCAGTAAATTTGGTTCTGTTGTTTACAAATTACATATATTGAACATAACCCCCACCCCATCTTATAAAAACAAAATACAACTGTGTACCTGTGTAAGCCCAGAGGGTATCAGTTGGATTTAATCCCTAACGTAACCAATCATTTTCCTTCCTCAGGTTTGTGGGAGGAGAACTGAATGCTTGCTACAATGCTGTGGACCGTCATGTACTGGCTGGAGATGGTGAGAAGGTTGCACTTATCCATGATAGCCCTGTTACTAAGAGCATCAGACACATCACATATCAGGAATTACAAGATAAAGCAAGTACTTTCATGCAAAATATTGCCTAAAGTAAACTGTGCTCAACCAATGCTATAACTTGGTTATTATATCCTAACCGCTTTCTTCTTTTCTTCCTTTTTTATTTCAGTACCAATGCCTGTACCCCATGAAAATGATTATGGAGACACTCTGGCAAAGAAATCATGTTTTGGGGCATTTTTTAAAGAACTGGTATCCTTGGTATGTTGCACAACATATCACAAAAGGATTCTATCCAGTTTAGAATCTGAAATAATGTTAAAAGAAATATTTTTAATGAATTACAACATATGTATGGAAGACTGTACAAACAGTCAGTAAAAATAAGAACTGATTTTCTTAATTAACCTTACTATTAATAAATTCCCTAAAGTAAAGTCCTCTTTGAGGAAGCTAATAGTCATTCAGATAGCCAGAAAATTTCCTGTCTCTTTATGGAATTCATTTTTAACAGTATAGTGTTCACAAGGCCCCATCTCTGAACCCTCTCCTGAGGCAACTGAATTTAGCCCAATAGTTCGCAGTAACACACAAATTACTATGCTTCCTCTTGTACACTCCAGTCTTGTTTAAAACTACAAGATACTTTTCACATGCTTAGTAACATCACATATGTACATTTTATTTGCGTTCATAATCTGTGCATGAGATGCAAACAAAGTACCTTTCTATTTCTTAGTGGACCTACCATCCAGTATCTCTCCTACCTATCAGCAACCACTATGGTAATTGCACTGGCATTAATATCATAATTCTGTCACACAATGCAGAGAATCACTGTTCATATTAACAACATAACAGATTATTCTTAAAATAATGAAAATGAAAAATTTGAGTTTTAATTTGGGGCAATAGGAAAGATGATCCAAATTTTATTTTCAGCTAAGTACAAACCATTCCATTTTCTTTCCATCAAGTGCTGAATGGCATATGAAACACATTCAAGTATGAAATATATGAATGAATTTTCATGCATATTCTATGACAGAATTGCATAAATGTTTTGGAACAAAACAAGGCACCAGTCAGTATTCACAATTCCTTTTCAGCAGGTTTCACGACTGGCTGGAGCACTGGCCAAGATGGGTGTCTCCCGTGGAGACAGAGTCATTGTCTACATGCCCATGATACCTGAGGCCATTATAGCCATGTTGGCAACTGTCAGACTTGGAGCTGTACATTCTGTGGTGTTTGGTGGTATGTTCTGCTTTAATTTGCTTTAATGTGAATCAAGTAAATGAGAAACTTAAATGCTTAAATAACGTGGAAATTTATGTTTTTATTAGTCTACTTTCCATATTTTGAAAAATTAAAGTAGATTTATGCAATAGGGAGACAAGGAATACATACATACAGAATTTTGGTATGGAGACCTTTTTAAAAATAGTCGCTTGGAAGACTGCAAAAGAAATGAAAGAACAGAATTAGGAAAGATCTTTGAAAAATAGGCTGCGAGGCTGTAGCTAGCTCAATATCATGTGCAGTGATGGCTTTGTTATCATCAGTGTTCACACTTTGGATTCTAGTGTCAGAGTGTTAATTTCCAATCAGAACTCCAGTTAAGAAGAATATGTAACCCCCCCCCCCCAAAAAAAAAATTTTCTTCTTTGACATAAGATTCAGTTTTATAAGGCTAACTAATTAGCCTTGCAGTAGCAGAGCCCACATGTTCAGTACTGCTAATATAAAAGGCTACCACTGGATACAATCCTGAGTCAGCTCTTTCTACCTTCACTTATCACAAATTATATCCCCAAGACCCATTCTGATGTTGCCCTAAGATCTCTTTCTCCTTCTTACTAGAGGATGTTTTCCAAGCAGTTTCACCGCCAAAATAGCAACAGAGGTTAATTCTGTTCTATTCTGTGCTATAATGTTTCATCAATGGAAAGTTCTTATAATTAATTATATAATTATTTAAATTTGATTATGTGGCAGTAGTTATTATCCCAAAAGCTTCATTTAATCCCTGAACTGCTGGTCACATCACCACAATAAATCATAGAACGGAAATTGTGAACATTATTTTGGAGCATTCTAATTGACTGAGATAGAAATGGGACAACACAGGAAGGCTGTTTACTCTTAGTGACCAAGGACATGATAATCTTGAGAAAGGAAACATCATCATCATAAAAGCAAAAGAGAGAACTTATATCTGAGTAACAAAACTATGGCTTTCACTACCATCTTAGAGATGAAATGTAACAATAGTATAGCCCAATGTGAAGAAACTAAAACAGAGGCATGGCTTTGTATAGGTGGTTCCATTGGAAGTTAGAGCCCATAAGAAAACATGCTCTAATCTTTATGCTGAATGTGTTATAGGATGACCACCTCTGTGGTCTAGTGGTCAGAGTTCCTGGCTACAGAAACAGAGGGCCAGGTTCGATTCCCGGCGCTACCAGCTTTTCTGAGAAGTAGTGGATCTGGAACAGGGTCCAGTCAGCCTTATGATGATAACTGAGGAGCTATCTCAAGGAAATAGCGGCTCTGGTCTAGAAAACCGAGATTAACAGCCATGGGGAACTATTGCACTGACCATGTGACACCCCTTATCCGCAAAAGTCGGCACTAACTTTGCCGACAAGCGGTGGTCGCTTGGTCGGTATAGTTCACTTGCGGACTACAGGCCGCTATAGGATACACAGAATGTATTTTGAACCTGAGAAATGGGTACTGGTCTCATTCTACGTGGATCATAGCTGAGTACATCTGTGTAATACTTTTAGTTTTATTCCTCTAATGTTTGGGCCCTGAAGGAAGTCCCAATGTTGCAGGTTTTGCAGCACGGGAGCTGCGGGTACGCATCGAACATGCAGAACCTAAAGTTATTATTGTAGCAAGCGCTGGTTGTGAGCCCAACAGAATTGTAAGGTAAGAACAATAAGAAAGAGGACAAATTTCAAACAAATTAACTTTCCCACCTAACAGGTCTTCATTAATATTAGTCTGTAGTCCTGTCAGTGTTATTAGTAAGTCCAGTGCCTTTCTTTTCTAAAAACATGTTTGCCGGTCCATTTACATTTGGTTCTAGCCTCAAGATTGCAATGTACAGTGTATCAGCAGGTGTGCAACTCTTGGCAAGTTTTCTGGTATATATGTGTTGTTTGCCAGTATGTGTACTGGCTGAAAAATCTCTGAATATGTCCAATATAATTTTCCCTGGATATTTAGGCAAAGTCTATAGTACAACAGCAATATGTAGTTTAGCAGGTGGCTGAGCATGTGAGCAGATGGTCATATTGAATTGAATTGAATTGAATTGAATTGAATTTATTTGCATTCCATAAACCGTAAGCAGGTTAATACCTTTGGATATAGAACAAGTCAAAAGAATACCTACTGGTACAAGTAATTTTATCTTAAATTAATATAGCTTAATTCTACATTATTCCCTATTTACACTGAAGTATTCGTCTACAGAGTAGAAGGAATGAGCATGCAGATAATTCTTTAGCTCTGATTTAAAATGTTTACTATCATTGCTCAAGTTTTTGATACTTTGTGGGAGACTATTGTACACTTTTATGCCAGAAGAGTAGACTCCTTTTTGATATAGTGATAAGTTTGATGAAGGTAGATGGAAGTTATATTTTTGTCTAGTATTCATGTTATAGATACTGGAATTTAAATTCAAATTTATTTTTATTATACACAACAAATAAGAGAAGCGATAGTATGTATTGTGATTGAAGAGGTAGAATTTTAATTTCTTAAATAAATCTCTACATGAATCTCTACTTCTATGTCCTGTAATGATTCTAATTATATTCCAGTCTCCGAAATGTCATGGTCTTTTGTATTTTACACACCAGACAATGGATGAAGTCCAAAACAATCCAAAGGAAGTAAAGAATATACATATATACTACAAGACAGAAATGTAACCTGCATAATTATATTCTGTAAATAAGTACTTAGTAATGTAAATTTGCCAACATATTAGAAAGTGTGAATTAAGAGGTATCATTTCTGTGATAATCTAAAGTACACTACAGTTCTAAGTGAATAAACGTTAATATGTCCATGGCTTGTAAATCTTTTCAGATACAAAGACATTGTGAATGAAGCGATTGCTACCTCCTCTGTAAAACCACTCCACTGCATACTCTACCAGAGATATAATGTAGCATTTGCAGAACTGGATCCAGAATATGATACGCTGTGGGAAGATGCTTTAGCCATGAGTGAACCACATTCTTGTGTTCCAGTTGAAGCCAATGATCCTTTGTACATCCTCTATACTTCAGGAACAACAGGTAAGTGCATCAAAATTTTCTCTGTTCTTCATGAACAAGTATCAGTCTATAAGTTTCTTGGATTATTTAATGATACTGTTTAAAATTGAGAAGTTATGTAACAATAAGTAAATAAGGAAGGGTACTCATAAATATTCTAGAGAGCTGTATAGAGAAATAAATGAATTTAAGAAGGGTTACCAACCTAGAAGTAATTTAGTGAAAGATGAGAATGGTGATCTGCTTGCAGATTCCCACAACATTTTGTAGAGGTGGAAGAACTACTTCTCCAAGCTGTTGAATGTACATAGAGTCAGTGATGTTAGGCAGACAGTAATACATACAGCTGAGCCATTAGTACTTGATCCCAGCCCTTTTGAGATTGAAATTGCTATTGCAAAGTTGAAAAGATTAAATTGCCAAGTAGTGATCAAGTTCCAGCAGAACTGATTCAAGCAGGAGGTGAAATATTGCATTCTAAGATCCATAAACTCATTAAGCCTATGTGACATTAAGAAGAATTGCCTGATAAGTGGAAGGAGTCTATTATTGTACCAGTTCACATAAAGGATGATAAAACTGACTGTAGTTATTGTTATGGGATATCATTGTTATCAACTTCATACAAAATTTTATCCAAAATCCTTCTCTCAAGGTTAAGTCCATGTACAGATGAAATTATTGGGGATCAACATGACGGAACAACTATTGATCAGATTTTTTGCATTTGTCAGATACTGGAGGGAAAATGGGAGTAGAGTGAGACAGTACATCAGCTATTCGCAAACTTCAAGATAACCAATGATCCAGTTAGGCAGAAATATTCTCATAGAGTTTGGGGTACCCATGAAACTAGTTAGGTTGATTAAAATGTGTTTAAATGAAACATGCAGTAAAGTCCTTGTAAGTAAACATTTGGCTGATAATTTTCCTATCCAAAATGGTCTAAAACTTAGAATATGCAGTTAGGATATAGGATGTAGGAAAGAGACCACTGGGAAGACCAAGGCGTAGGTGGGTGGACAATATAAAATTGATCATAGAAAGACAGGATGGGATGGTATGGATTGGATTGACCTGGCTCAGAATAGGGACCAGTGGAGGGCTCTTGTGAACACAGTAATGAACCTTTAGGTTCCATAAAATGCTGGTAAATTCTTGAGTAGCTGCAGAATTGCTGGCTCCTCCAGAGAGTCTCAGCTCCTTGAGTAAGTAAATAAGTAATATGCCTCTAGGAAGGTCAAGGAAATCCAGGTGGGACTGAAATTAAATGAGACACATCAGCTGCTGGTCTATGCTGATGATATGAATCTACTGAGTGATAATATAGACACCATAAAGAAAAACACATAATCTCTATTTGATGCTAGTAAGGAGCTTGTTCTAGAAGTAAACACAGAGAAAACTAAGTATATGTTGCTGTCTTGTGACCAAAATGCGGGGCAAAATCATGACATAAAAATAGCAAGCAGATGTTTTGAAAATATGGCACAGCTCAGATATTTGGGAATAACGATAACAAATCAAAACCTGATTCAGGAGGAAATTAAGAGAAGATTTAATTCAGGTAATGCTTGCTACCATTCAGTCCAGAAGCTTTTATCTTTTTGTCTGCTGTCTAAAAAACAAAAATTAGAATATACAAAAGTATAATTTTGCCTGTGGTTCTGTATGGGTGTGAAACTTGGTCTCTGACATTAAGGGAGGATCATAGACTGAGAGTGTTTGAGAACAGGGTGCAGAGGAGAATATATGTTTCAAAGAGAGATGAAGTGATGGGAGGTTGGAGAAAATTACATAATGAGGAGCTTCATAATTTTTACTCTTCACAAAGTATAATTAGAATGATCATCATCATCATCATCATCTTTATTAACATCCGTAACTGTTACAAAGTAACACATGGACAAGTCATAACATGTAGTACAATCATTCGGGAATCCTTTGCCCACGGCCTAAAGGGTTCCTAAGTCAACAGAGACATACTCTAATTAAAACTACAATACAGAATACAAGTACACAAATTAGATTTATTTTAAATATAAATAAGTTAATTTCAAGTTTATTTGCCTTTATGCTTAATCGACCAACTTTAAAAATACTACTTTAAAATCAAGTTACTAAAGTAACCATCACAACCATACTCATCAAGGATAAAAACACATCATCAAATCATCATTAAGGATTTTGAGCAGAGTTTCTCTATTCATCCTGCAGTCCCTCAAAGAGAAACTCCTTCATTGTATAAAATGGGTTATCAAGTAAAAATAATTTTAATTTATATTTAAAATCTTTGAATCCATTTAATTTTCTTATTTTCAAAGGCAATCTATTGTAAGCTTTAATACCCATATTTATGACACTTTTTTTAGAGGTAGATGTGCTACAGCTTCGTACATGGAAGTCCTCTTTTCTTCTAGTATTATATTCATATAAATCTGAATTTCTAGTAGTATACAGATTAAATTTCTGGAAGTAGCACAATACCTCAAAGATGTACAGAGAGGTAACAGTTAGGATCTTTAGATCTTTAAAGATTGGTCTGCATGTAGTTCTACTATTTACGCCTTTTATTAATCGAAGTATCCTTTTTTGTATTTTCAGTATTTTACTGCTTTCACACTCTCCCCCCCAAAAAATCAAACCATAACTTATTAAGGACTGAAATTTAGCAAAATAAACATTCCTGAGCGTAGAGAAACTCACTACATCTTTCAAGGATTTTATAATATAACACACCTTATTTAATTTTAGACATAAAGATTGAATATGTGAGCTCCATTTTAAGTTATTTGATATATTAACACCTAAAAATTTAAACTGTGAGGTATAACTAATTTTCATATTTTTGAAGGTGATTACTGGCTCAGACATATAGTATGATTTGTTTAATTGGAACAGCATTGCTTTGGTCTTTTCCGTATTTATAATCAAATTGTTTTTTGAAAACCACGATTCTAACTGGATCATCACCTCTCCTATCTTATCTTGGAGAATATTTATATTTTTATCTGTTACCAATATGTTAGTATCATCTGCAAAAAGGACAACTTCACCGTCAAATATATGATAGGGTAAATCATTTATATAAAGTAAAAACAACAGTGGGCCCAGGATGGAACCCTGGGGTATACCAAATTTTACATTCTTAAATGAGGAATTATACCTCTTCTTACGATATTTATTGTCATTTGAAGTTATTTCGACATACTGAGAACGTAGAGAAAGGTAGGATTTTAACCAAATTATGGCATTCCCTCTTATTCCATAATGCTCCAATTTCTCAAGAAGTATATCATGATCTATAACGTCATAAGCTTTTGAGAGATCAAAGAATATACCTACCACCCCTAACCGCCTATCCAATGCTTCCTGGACCTTTCCAATGAAGGACAGACACGCCGATGTAGTTGATTTATTTTTCTGAAACCCATGTTGATTTTCTGTTAAAATTTTGTATTTTGTAGTAAAAGATACCAGTCTAGAATACATTATTTTTTCCAATATTTTTGAAAATACAGATAAAAGCGCTATCGGTCTATAATTACTAGCTTCTTGTCTGTTCCCTTTTTTATAAACAGGCCTAACTTTTGCAATTTTTAATAAATCTGGAAAAATCCCCTGGTTTAAAGACTCATTAAAAATGAATGTAAGTGGTTTTTTTATACATTGAATACATGCTTTTAATAAAAATTCAGGGACTTCATCAACTCCAGCAGAGTCAAGACAAGACAGATGAGATAAGGATGGCATGTAGCATGAATTGGGAGGAGGTGAATACATATAAGATATTGGTGGGAAAGCCAGAAGGAGAGAAACCACTAGAAAGACCAAGATGTTTATGGTTGGATAATATTAAAATAGTTCTTAGAGAGATAGTATGGGGTGGTATGGACTGGATTGATCTGGCTCATGATAGGGACCAGGGGAGGGCTCTTGTGAATATGGTAATGAACATTCAGGTTCCATAAAGTCCTGGGAAGTTCTTGAGTAGCTGCACAACTAGTGGCTTCTTGAGAAGAGCTCAGTTAATTAGTTAGTTGTTTGGTCAGTTGGCTGGTCGGTCAGTCAGTCGGTTGGTTGGACAGTCGGTCAGTTGATCGGTTGATCAGTTTGTTGGTCGGCCAGTGAGTCAGTGAGTCAGACTGAAGAACACAAAGAGAAACCTCACCCACAGTAGTCTACCTCTGGGTTAAGAAACTAAGCTGGTGAAGTAAATTCCCCATTACCCAATATGTGCCAGTTACATCAGCAAGGCTCTTGCAGAAATCCAATGCAGAGCAAACACAACGCAGTTTTGGTTTAGTCTTTGCATGGAAGTGTTCCTAGGCTACAAACAGATTAATGGGTAAAAATTGCAAATACATATGCTGAAAGTGATCACAAATTGAACTAGCATCTACCATAAAGGTACCTATATGAAGCAGGATGACAGCACTGTCATTGGTGGCTAGGAGAATTACCACTTTTTGGGTGAAAACGTATCACAGATTTGTTTCTAAAAAGATAATAAAAGTGGTAAATTTTTATTGTAATGTTTGCTGGTTGGAAGAGAATTCTGGATGCTTGAACATCACATAACCAGAAGTTCACTGAATGCTTGTATGAAACAGGAATGCAAACCATTCAACTTCAACACATTGTCATGGGGGGGGGGGAGTAAAAAACTCTCTCAGCTAATATAACACATGGAAGAAATTATAACACAAAGCAGTTCGGTATTTATTACTTTCCTTTATAAAAAATATAAATGTTGAAGAACTCTTTTTCACATCTTACACAAGTCTGTATGTGCAATGTAATTTGTGTAATTTAAATTAATTTCAGATTCCCCAAAGGGCATACAGCGGCCTGTGGGGGGTCACATTGCCACACTGGCATGGACAATGCAAACTATTTATGGAATGGGGAAGAATGATGTATGGTGGACAGCATCAGATATGGGCTGGGTGGTAGGACATTCATATATATGCTATGGTCCACTTGTGTATGGTATGACATCTGTCATGTATGAAGGAAAGCCGGACCGTACACCTGACCCAGGAGCCTATTTCAGGTACTGAACCTACTATCATTAATCTACCACTATGGCTGCTGCCACCGTCCCCCCTCCTCCTCCTTCAAGGACATGGGCCATTTACTTGTTTCCAACTTCAAGAGAACATGGCGCCCATCTAGCTATGGGACTGTTTTAAACTTTTGTTTTTTATTTCTTTAGTAGTATCTACTGGTATCAGAAGATCGAGATTCAGTACTAACACCAGTACTCACCAGGTGAACTTAATTGCAATATTGGATTTCAGGTTATCACAGTGGTGAGGGGTTTCAAGGTTGAAGTGTCAGCCCAGAGACTGGTTATTCTGACTTAGAATCTTCATATGGTTTTCCCTTTTCATTCATTATCTATTTATCATCTTATCATATGCCATAACAAGGTCTCATCTACTAAAAGACTCATTAAATGAACCATAAAGAGACAATAAAAAGAGTAAAATTTGCTTCAAAAAAATCAGTTTGTAATTATTATCCTCGTGACTCCTTCTTCTCATTTTCACTCATTCACATTTTAACAGACGTTTATTTTAAAGAATAATTTCCAAAGTCTGCTCACTGCAACAAAATCTTGATAATTTAATTATAGTTATTCTCTTAATGCAAAATAAAAATAAGAAACAAATAAATAATCAGAGACAGGTAATGGGATCTTAGGTACCATTCTCGTCTTTCTTACATGTTGTCAGGGTAATCCATGAACATGGAGTAAACGGAATGTTGACTGCACCAACAGCATTACGTGTTATCAAGAGAGCAGATCCAGAAGTGAAATTTGGCACCAAATACTCCACAAAATCGTAAGTATGACATTTAAAGGTTGCTTTGGATACCAGAAAGTGACTATGCAGACTTCTCATATAGCCACATTCTATCTCTTTGAAAGAACTGCGTAACTCATAATTTGGGGCAGTTCATGACATTGGTCATTAATTTGCCGTTTGAATCGTATTACTTCATGTCCAGATTCTGTACAAATTTAATCTTTATCAGAATTCACTTACTGTGGTAGCTGAAGGAGGAGTGTTGAGTACAGCATCATTTTCAGTACCTTATAATTGTAACATATTTTTATTTGTATTGTAAGATCCAAAGATGGATATAGAATATGTCATAAAATAATGGGAATTTTTACTGTTTATAGTGATGGTCCAATGCAGCATCTAAAAAAGTAAGGCCTTTAACATCAACATACTTTGTAACTAGCATTTTAGTCTAGTTTTCAAAAGGAAGAGTCACTTCATATTTAGTGTATGTACATATGTCCCCTAATAAAGGTGAGGTAACAGCAAAGTTTTCCCTGTGCTTAATTAACTTTTAAAAAACTGATAAATTTTCGTGAAAATGTCATGCCATCAAAAGTGAGGCTACCTTGATAATTTGTCATCGGATACTAATATATGTAGCAGTCATGTACATTATCTGGCTGGGAATTACCTCTAGTAGCATACTATGTAGAAACTTGGAAATTTGTATAATAATATCTCTAGGAAATATATCCCTTCTGCTAAAGTTTCATATGTCTAAAATGGAGGTGACCTCAATAAATGTTTTTATTTCGTTATAGCAACTAATGAATGCTGTAATAAGTAATGAACTGAAGGTGGAAGTTTGTTCTTTTGGAAATCAGAGACATATCTACATAGTCCATATGAAACATATATAGTGTTCTAAACAAAATATAACCTAAATATTATGTAGTTTTAATCTATTTTTGATCACAGTAGATCAAGTAAAGATGGCTAATTAGATAAAAAAATTCTATGAATGGAAACTGATAAATGATCGGTAATATGCTGGCTGTGGTATTCTTTTATGGAGTTACAAATATCAAGAAATATTATTTAAGGTACATGTATATTCACACAGGCTCAGAACACTGTTTGCTGCTGGAGAACACTGTGATTATGACACTTTAACATGGGCAAGAAGGATATTTGATGTAAGTAAAATCCATTTACTTTCCTGATATTTGTAGAAGAAACTGCAGATGTAGGATTTTTTATTTGCATTGTTTGAGGATATAATTACAGCATTTTCAATCTGTGTTGTACTTCCCTACAGCCTAATAATTAGTTGAGTGGATCAATATTATGGTTCTTTAAATGCTGTACAAACATATTATATGTTATTTCTCATGCATTCACTTTTGTCTCCCGTGCAACTCACGCTGAATATTTTAAAATTCAAAATTCATAACATCTACACAAAACACAACAGAAGGAATTGTGGACAGCACCACAAAAACAAACCAGTCACCAAAACAAGCTGAAGAAAAGAATGGAAATTATACTTCAGAATTTAGGATAGGAAGAGTTACAACAGTATACAATAGGGCAGGAATTTTGCCAAATGATTTTAACACACCTGATGTTGGCCAAATAAGCTGAAACTTGTTGTGTAGAATATGACAAATAAAGACATAAAATATGAAAGAGATAATAGTTTTAAAATTTAAAATTTTAAAACCTTTAATATGAGTTTCATGGAAGATAGAAGTAAATACATGAGAAAAGCAGACACAGTGCAACAGGATTCTGAAATAAAGCATTATATTACATATTGTATTTGACTTTCTGAAATATTCCACTAAAGATACATATTTTGGTGGTTATTTTATGCATTTCTGTACTAGACCATTTTGTGTTGCAAAACATAGTTGAGTACTCTTTTATATATTTCTGCACTATGTTCCAGGAATGATAAAATATTTTGTGATGTACAAATTGTATATCATGAATGCATTATGCAGAAGTTGTATGTCTGTCTTTATTCTTTTCGTGCATTTTTTTACATAAACATTGTTAATTTCAGAGTAACATCCCCACTTTTATTCCTAATTCTTGATTCTTTGACAGCATTTTCTCATCTGCACTGTTTAAATGTATTGCATATTGGAATGATTGGGAACGAAAAAGTGGAAGAAATGTTCAGGTAAACTTAGCCTATTTTAAGGTATGGATGGGTGTGAAAAAAACTACAGAAAACTTCAGTCAGATCCCCAGACTGACATCTGAATATAAAGCAGGTGTACCACCGCTATTCAAGGTTCTTAGATTAAACAGAAATATGGTACATATTTTAAATGACTGCTCATAAAAATAATTAGAGGAATTTAATCATCCAATTCAACTGGGTATTGTGATACAAACAGTATGGTTGTGAAGTGTTTTGTCCTCTGAGTTGTAACCGTGTGTAGTCCGTTGAAAGTCAGCCGACGTTTCTGAGAAATATATCGCCACCATTTTTAGGGTTGAAGAATAAGCTGTACGAGATACCAGCGTGAAAGCAGGTGGCAAGCAGAGCAATCGGTTAGCAAAATTTCGGATTTTATAGGAGACAGGAGGGAAATACGAGGGCCGCTCCGAAAGTAATGCCTCCTATTTTATTATGTTGGCCCGCGACTTCAGAGGCGGGTACTGGTGGCATAGCAGCAGAGGTTTAACCTTCCCGCCAATAACTCGTAAGCTTTGTTGCCGTGCGACAGATAGCAGTAAAGGGGTATTATGGCGGAATGACGTCCGAAATAGTAGAGGTTAAGGAACAGTTGTTATTGAATTCTTCCATGCGGATATAAGTGCACCGATCGACATTCGACGATGCTTGCTGAACGTTTACGGAGACAAAATAATGGATGTGAGCACAGTGAGGCAGTGGGTGGTGCGTTTTAATAGTGGCGACAGCGATGTGAGAGACAGGCCACGTTCCGGGTGAACTGCGCAACTGTTAGCCCACGAAGTGATAAGGACCTCGATCAGCTCATTCGCGCGAATCGGCGGATTACGACCAGCGAGCTATGTACGGGGCCGAATGTCAGTTTCAGTGCGTTGAAAACGATGTTGGCAAATTTGGAATATCGCAAAGTTTGTGCCAGGTGGGTCCCACTGATGCTCGCGCAGGAACATGAAGACCACCGAATGGAAGTCTGTCAGGACCTGTTGAACCACTAAGAAGCTGAAGCTGAGAGTTTCTTGGACCACATCATCACCGGTGACGAGACGCGGTGTCACCTCTATGAGCCGGAATCAAAACGATAGTCCTTGGAGTGGCGACATGCGAATTCCTCACCAAAGAAAGAGTTCAAGACATAGCCATCAGCGGGTAAAGTGATGTACACTGTCTTTTGAGGTAGGGAAGGCGTGGTCGTTATAGATTTCCTGGAACCTGGACAAACCATGAAGTCTGACCCTGACAACCTTTCTCCTGCAACACGATAACACCAGGCCCCATACCAGATTGAATACCATGGGGCACGTTGCAAAATTTGGCTTGACTGCCCTACCACATCCAGCATATAGTCCAGATTTGGCACCTTGTAACTTCCATCTATTTGGGCCAATGAAAGATGGACTATGCAGGCAACATTTTGCTGACAGTGATGCCATCATTGCAGCTGTGGGAAAGTGAGTCGCTTCTGCTGGTACAGATTTTTACCTACACAGCATGCAGGCTCTTGTTCATCGCTGGTGAAAATGCATATCCAGTGGTGGTGACCATGTGCAGTGATAGTGTTTTGTAGCTGACAACTTACTGTATCAAACGGCATTATTCTGCACCCTGTATCCCATGTGATTTCCGTAGAAGTAAATAGGAGGCATTGCTGTCAAAGCGTCTTTAGTGGAAGAGCAGAATTTGGTTCTTGTTGGCCTGCCCATAGGAAAGTATGAAACCTCCAGCGCCCATTGACTCTCACACAACAACTGAGCCAACCAGCATGAGACAAGAACAGAGTATCAGGATGACCCTTAAAAGGGGCCATTTTGCTGGTCTAAGAAAGAGCAGGGGTAAAGTTGTATGAGTGTGGTGGGCAGGGAACCAACGATTAATCATGAATGTGTCATAGGCATGTGGCGGAAGATGAAGGAATAGATCTAGCAGAGGGGAACTGGGGCATCAAGTTGGAGGCTTAGGGCTGATAAATGCCCAGGCCCTTAAAAGGGGCAAGTTATGAAAATTCTACAACCAATATGGTTGCTTCATGTTTAGGTTCCAGTTCTAAACCACTGGTGGCAGACTGAAACAGGACATTCCATCACGGCATCGTGCATTGGCTTTGGTCACTCTGTGAACCCTCCTAGATATTCTGCAGGCTTGCCCTTCATAGGATATAATGGTAACAGAATGAGGAACTGCACATTTACTCTGGGAAATTCAGAGTTAGACAGTTCATTATTAACATTCACCTTCACTTCATTAACTGCCTCTGTAAATATAATGTACTACACTGCCAAGTTATTATAAGTATTGTGAATGTAAGAAGTCATTATTTGTAGTTGCTTTGCTATTTCTGTTTCAGAGTTATGTGTTTTTGTTTAAAATTACAACTGTAATGGAATTTACCTTTCAAATTATTAATTATCACATTCATTGAAATATTAGCAATAATTCTGTATGAAATTTTTATTTTCTACACATAAAAGTACATAGAAACCATAAATTGTCATTTTTAATAGTAAGAATGCTTTGGTGCCAAAAAAAAATTGATTACAGTGAATAACTAATAACTATCCAAAATAATTGCCAGTCATGGTAGCCGAGCTGTCTGAGGCATGCACTGTCTTCTCTCACTCTGAAGCCAGGATTGTGGGTTCGAATCCCACTCAGAGCATGGATGTTTAGTGTTTGTGTGTGTGTGTGTGTGTGCATTTTTCTGTGTTTGTGAACAGGTAGAGGCCTTGCGATGAGCTGATCACCCGCCCAAGGAGTCCTACCAAATGCCTAAGCTCTAGTAAACCGAAGTGAAACAGAGAGTTTCATGGAGGTAGGCCAAGGCCCAAGTTGGGGCTGTAGCGCTAAAGGGAGAAAAAAATTACTATGAAAATGAGCTGTTATATTGAAGCCACTAAAATGTACATAACAGAGTATAAAAATCCTCTTACACACATATGGAACTGGTTCCCTATTGCAGTTCATGTCCTACGCCCAGATGGTACTGAAGCAGATTGCAATGAGTTGGGACGCATTGTGTGTAAACTCCCTCTACCTCCTGGCACAATGTCTACCCTCTATAAAGCTCCTGGAAGATTTTTACAAGTTTATTTTTCCAAATATCATGTGAGTCATGATCTATTTCTTAATAGGAATGTAAGTAAACTTTAAACAAAAAACTTCGGAAAGAACTCATGTGTCTTCCTTCAGATATATCAGCCTATCATAGCGTTTCACTTTCTCCATATTTGTAATTATTACATGCTTCATGTATAATTTGTAAATATGTCTATGATCAGTCTGCATATAAAATTGCAGCTCCAAAGTTATTAATCATCACTATAATTCAGAAGCTAAACACAGATTTTGTGCAGCCACAGTTTTGGTATATATTCTGTTACCTTAACAAAAGTTTCACATTTTTCCAATCTCTATGAACATGTAAGTTTGTAACCTTACATTACGTTGAATGTCACACCAGCCTGAGAAGTTTCTTGGAAAGAAAATAAGAATTAGAAAGGTGGACCCCCCCCCCAGACATGATGTTTATATCAAGTTTCATCAATTGCTTTGACGGCTATTATCAGAAGCTCTTTATTAATATGTGTAATTTTATTCATCCTGTTACTTCTATCCTCTTAGATTCAACTGTTAAAATAAAAGTGAAGCTATCCCTGTAACAGGCCGTGGAGGCCCATAGGGTTGTGAGACGTTGAGGGTCCCACATTATCTAGACAATTGGCTCAAAGATGGCGGTAAGGTTGTCAGCCTTACGCGCCAGCCGCGCTTAACTCCCCAGGAAAATTATTTAATTAATTCCTGGTACTCAGAACCCCATGGCCATAGTGCGGCTGGAAGGATTAGCAAAAATTATACTTTACTGTAAGAGTATTTAGATACAAAGTCTATTAAAGTATTTTAACCATTAAAATATAAAAAAAATTATAGAAGTAGCACTTAGTGGGGAGTAACATGCATTTCACTGTGAAAGATCCGTGACAGATTTGGCTTTTACCCTTTAAAACGCATATGGCATAAAGTAAGAGATGATTTGGTCCAGTTTAAGATTAAGAGTACCAGAATAGAATAACAGAACAGAAAGGGTGTAAGATTCTACTGACAGACAGACATAGAATAATCAGGATGTTTCAAAACAAAGTGTGAAGCGAGTCAAGGAAGTGGCCTCTCACCAGTCTTCTTCGATAACATGATGGATAATGGCTACTAAAGATGGAGGGCGAGATAAAAACAAATGACAACAGTATTTGCAGACAGTGTGTTGAGCTGATGGAGAACAGCAAGGAAATTGAAAAACAACTGAATCAATGAAACCACATTATAAAAGAATGCAAACTGAAAATGAATATGAAGGAAAAACAACAGAGATTGATAGAAGAATACAGAGTAGTTCTAAACACTGAAACACCATAAAAAAAATAATATGGAAGAGAAAGATCTCAATTTATAAAGTAAGAAAATTGGAAGCTTTTTATCCATTGACACATGAATTGAAAGAGATGGAGGAGAAGGACAAGATAACTGGAATAGAACAGAATGTGTAGGCATATAATAAATAGAGGACAACTACAAAAGAATCTTACAGAAATGATTTTTGCAATTATTCTATTTTCCTAATCATTTCAAGTTTTAAGTTGAATTTCCTTAAGAAAGGTGTGTTATGATAATGTTTCAATGGATATTTAATGGTAAAGGGAAGACTACAACAGGTTAAGAGAAAAGCAGTTTTGAAATTATGTAATTATAGCGTGACACCAAACTTGCTTGTACTTCTAGAGTACTTCACCTTTAGACAATTCACAGTGTTCTATTCATCACACCTGTATCTTGGGAACTAATGTTGAAAGTTGATAAGTGTAAATATACACATTATTCTCTTCAGGAAAGAATACTATGGAAAATTGATAATTTGCTGTTATATGCATGGGTTCAAGTCCCACTCAATTTCTTTGTTCCATAAGTAAAGCATTGAGATCACACACAAAAAAGAAAAAAAAAAAACCGTAGTTTAGTCCCCAAGTAAATTATACCAACCGAGTGACTGCAGCTTGTCAGCGAAGTTAGTGCCAACTTTTGCGGATAGAGGGTGTCATGTGGTCAGTGCAACCGTTCCCCACAGCCGTTAATCTCGGTTTTCTTCACCGGAGCCGCTATTTCCTTGAAATAGCTCCTCAATTATCCTCATTAGGCTGAGTGGACTCCATTCCAGACCCACTACTTGTTAGAAAATCTGGTAGCGCCGGGAATCGAACCCGGGACCTCTGAATTTGTAGTCAGGAACTCTGACCACTAGACCACAGAGATAGTCAAGAGACTATAACAACAACGATGCATATATCTTCATATTAACCACAGAAACAAAACACAAGGTCACAAAAAGTCATGTGTGAGTCCAAGAACCTAGGGCCACAAATGTAAGTAACCAGCATGAACAGGAAATACCATTCCTCAGACTGCAGTGCATATTTTTCTACATTGGCATGCTAGAGCAAGGAAAAGAACTTACATGTTTATCGCCATTACACACTTTGTGGAAACTTAAAATATATGTTCCTATATATTCCATCCAATTTAATTGATTGCAGGGCTTCTATGACACAATGGATGCTGGGTTTATTGATGAAAATGGCTACGTGTATGTGATGGCACGTGATGATGATGTAATCAATGTGGCTGGCCATCGTCTGTCCACTGCTGCACTAGAAGACGTTGTGCTAAGTCATCCAGATATAGGAGATGCAGCTGTAATAGGAGTTCCAGAGCCCACAAAGGGAGAAATACCATTATGTCTTTTTATTGTAAAGCAAGGTAAGTTAATGATAATTATGATACAGTAATTCTAGTCCTTACATTTTCAGCTCAGTGTGTGGCTTTGGCTTTCAGTAATAGGCCATGTAAAATGTTATGGGCTCTAGACTTCCAGATGATGGAAAAAGTACAAAAACCCAGTAAATCTGTAAGTTGTTATCTTGTAAATAAAATAATATGAATAATTGTACTTTATTCTTGATACATGTACATATATGAAAAGCCAGTTTATAAATAAATTGATGATAAAAAAATTAATTTGTTTATAAACTAAAATATTCATGGGAAACTAACAAAGTAGTGACACTTCATAACGTTCTTAAACTGGTATACCTTGGACATAGGTATGGACAATGCCACAGGAGTGAGAACGTCAGCTGTGGCTCAAGTGTGTATACCCTGAACTACAAGCATTGACCATGTAGCTTCTAGTCTCTGCTTCTCTTACTTCATTGCAAACTAATGTTTTATTTCTAGAGTGTAGGAATAATACTGGCACATACAGTATATAGCAACAGCCATCATTCTTCTGTCATATTAGGCCATTGCAAGCGTAAGACATCATTCAGCACGTAATATTCATATTTTTAAAACATGTCTGTAAAAGCAAAACAGACCCAGAGGCAGAGGCTGAGTGTCCTGATGGCAGTGAATTAATTCAACATGGGAATCAGCCTAATAGATTGTAATATTTAAAAAAAGTATACATTTCTTCGTTGGTACTGTCTTTTGGGATATAATGCCATGTAGTCCGATGGAAGTCAACAGATGTTTTGGAGGAACATACGTCCATCTTCAGGGTTAAAGAATAAACTGAGCAAGATACCAGTGTGAAAGCAGGCGGCAAGCCAAAATGTCGGTTAACTTTCAACAGACTACACGACATTATATCCCAGAATATAGTACTCTTTATAAGTATTTCATGTTGTTATTTTATTATTTATTTACAGTAATTTCTTAATATGCCACCATTTTCAGTTCATTGCTACTAAAAATTACATTTCTTTAAGATATACATTTGTATGTCTGTCAATTGCAACACTGTTATTGTGTGGGCATGTGGTGATGTAGACCTTGTGCAGAAGGTCTTAGGGTTGAGACCAGCTGAATATACTGTGAATTTTTGTGCTTGCCTTCCATTTGCTTCCCAGAGAGTCAAAATTCTGGGTACATAGGGAACACCAGGCATCATGCTAAGCTGAGCATGTTGAATCTGCTGGACTGCAGCATCAGAACTGGTGTGTAATTTATGGGAAAGTCTTAGGCACAAGGTTACTAAGTCCGACTTACAATACAAATTTCATCTCCTGTGTATAGCAACTTCAGCTGAGTCATACTGTCACTATTTGTATACCCACCCTTCAGTCCTCTCTTAGTAATCTGGAGAGATTTTTTTTTCATAATCATAAACTCTGCAGTTCAATACATGATCCATGGTTTATGGCTTATATTCATGTTAACACTCTCCTTTCAGTTGAGGTGTTAACCATAATTTTCTTTATACATCATTTTGCACATGAAGAGATATTTATGTAAATGTAAATGATGTGTTACCTCCTGTATTCTGCAGTTTCCAGTAACTTTTCATATTTACGAGTATACATCTGTTTTTATTTCCTCCATGACATTTTTTAATATTTCTCTTTTCTAATTTTCACTGTACACTAACTGTGAGCCTGATCAAGAGGCATATGGGAAACCAAAGGTAACCTCACAACTGTTACACATTGAGCAAACCCTAGCTGTCTGAATATGATTCCATGGTCTTTAAAGCTAGGGTTAATTAAACAATTTCTCATTCTAACTCCACACCGTTAACATATGGCAGAATACAGTAAACTACACTGTACTGTAATGGCTTCCATATTTATGCCATACAGATCTATCCAAACAAAATGAGTGACAAATCCTGATAACAAGTAGTAATATTAAACATGTGATGCGTGAATCTGTATTTTCTTCATTTTAAATATTGCTTAGTGCTTTTAGATCTTATTTATTTTTATATATTTATTTGCACTCCCTACTGAAGAATGTCACTGCCTGCTATTATCAGTACCCCACTGAGCCTGCTTTTATATATATACATGAGTTAGCTGCCAACTTGTACAGGAACACCAGGCAAGCTTTGGGCTCCTAGTTATGTAGTTGGAATCTCAGCTGCATTACAGGCCAGCATGAAGGAAGTCTTCATGGTTTTCCCATTCTGTCTAAGCTTATATCAGAATAGTACCTTCACTGTACATCTGTGCATATTCTGCACGTTATTTGATGCTGCAATTAAAACAGGATCATTAAATAACCTAACAAACAGTCACTCCAGAAGAAGCACTTATTTTGTTTCCTGAACAGAAGCTGTTCTGTCAATGTTCTTGCACATCAGTATAAACTGAATTTGTTCTGTTACACCAATCGTAATAAGAATTCTCATAGCACATGGTGTTAAAAATTATTCTCCTAAAGTATTTTTCCCTCTTCTGTATAAGTGGGTCAGCTTGCTGGTAAATTTCCAAATCAGTCCCATTTTGTAAGAGATTTTTTTCTATCAGATACAAGAAAAGCAGAGCCCGAGATCATCCGAGAGCTCATAAAAATGGTAAGGGAGTTGATAGGCCCCATTGCAGCTTTCCATGTGGCTGCAGCTGTCAGAGGATTACCACGCACCCGTTCAGGAAAGACTGCACGGAAGTCCATTGCTGATCTTGCAAGGAATAAGTTTGTAAAGGTAAGGCAAGATTTATCTGACAGATACTTCAATAGCTATTTGGGAACTGCCCACATTCAAGCAAACTTTATAGTGCAGCTCAAGTATCATTGCTTAGCAACGGCGAGTAAACAGTCATTGCTAGGTAAAGTCTACAACAATATGTGACTGTGGGAGCTGGTCTCGTAGCTGAAAGATTATTTAAGGCTGTTTGTGTTAGGTGATTCCAGAATCTGTATTGTTTGCTATTGGGTTAAAAGAATTGTGTGATTTACCACTTGTCTTCAGTAGCAAGTGTGGCATCTAGGATGAAGGACAGGTGGTGCTGAAGCTATCAAATCCTGTTTGTTGTATTCAATTTCACGATGTGTGTCACAACTTGTAATTGCTTTAAAATGGTTGGGCTACTTCCCATCTGCTTCAGTAGTAAATATTGCATCGTCTAGCAATAGAAAACAATAATTGTGTGGTGCCAATATTGTGAACATTTTGTTGGAAGTGGAGCATCTGATGGACATGAGTTCAGTCCAGTTGTAGATCACAGCATGGAAATACTAATTCAGGTGGTGATGATAGGCCAAGCACAAGTGCACAAACAGTGAAAATAAAAGTCCATACTCATAGATGCGCTCTCCAGCTCAATTCTGAAACAATACATAAATGTTTTTCCACTATGTGACATGAAATTCAAGCATATTTTGCCTTCAGCATTCTGATGAGATAGAAGAGAAACCCAGCAGTCGTGTGATATTGGTATGAAAAAATTCCAATTTTTCTCCCCCCCCAAGTTATGCCCTATCACAGGTTTTTGCTGTTGTAAGCATTTCTTCATGTCACAAACACAAGATTGCTTTATGGGATAGATGGGCTGGGGGGAAGCTAGGGCCAGTTATTAAACACCTGACAGAAAATTTCAAATTTCTGCACTATTCTGAAAATAATTTGACAGTTGTTCGGGTGTCAGTTTTGGTATATTCAAAATGATCTCAAAAACAGCTGGGTTTGGAATCAAAGTACTGTTCAGGGTTTTCTGTTTACACTGACAAGTAACAAGAGGCATCTACAGGAGGGATTCCATCCAGTGAAACACTGGTACAGCTGATGAATCCATGATTTAACAAAGGAAAAATCATTTTGTTGTAAGTTTGTGGTTTTCCATCCCTTTCACTGAAAGCAGTGGAAAGACAAATGTATTTGGCACTACAAGAGGCAAAAGAAGTCTGCCAACAGGAATTCAAGAAGAAAATTAAAAAAGAAGGTGATGGCTCATAGTGACTGAACAGAACAGTCAGACAGGAATGACTGATACCAGATGGGATACGGAAGAGAGTACTGCAATAATGAAACCCAAGCCAGTTCTTCACTACAACAATTGGTGAATGCTGTGGACACAGGATCAGCAGCTTTCCAGTGATGGGTAAGGGAAGACAGGGTACCGGAAACTATTTTTCTATTTGATGGACATCACTACATTCAACAGCTATGCATTGTGGAAAAAAAAATCTCACTTTACAGAATCAGGATGACAGAGCAAATGTTTATGTCATTCTGCCTCAGCACACTGTAGCATGGCCAGCCATAATGGGAAATGTATCCTGTACAGCTGCAGGGAAAACGTTTGGCACATTTTGCTAGATTCAGCCCATTGAATCCAAAAAAGAATCTTTCTCATGACTGTGGTGGCACCACTGGTGCACAAAGCCAGGAAGAAGAGAGAAAAATGTTTGCTTGCTCAACAATTTCTGGACTGCATCAAGATGTTCCATACATCCAAGACATTCTACTTCTGCACAAAACCACAAATGCTGTCATTATTAACATGTCACCAGTAGGATTACAACACATTTCTAAAAGATTTTTCATTCTGCATAAGTCAAACCAAAACCAATCAAAATGAAGAGATACTTTCATTAAAGATGAAGTAATTTACTGCATGTTTATGGTATTTAAAATCATCAGCTAGTGGGTTGCTGTGGGAAGCTATTAAGAAAAAAAATAAAAGATCAAGTGGTGGAGAATGAACTTTGCATAAAATAAAAATATAATTACCATTTTTATCCATAGATGGATATTCCCCTCACTGTTCTATAAAAAGTAACTACAAAATATATTACCATTTAAATGTTCATAATAATTAAACTTGTTGAATTATAATTATTTTAATTGTCTTAATGTGTTAAAAAAATTCAATAAGCTGTAGAGACAAGTGGTAGGCTCTTGAAAACATGGCTCTGAACCTTTGGGTTCCATGAATGGCCAAGAGTACCTTGATTGTTAGCTTCTCAAGAGGACTCCACTCCATAAAGTTAGTTAACCCATCATAGCCTGAAGATTCCTTGACATAGTATTAAATATTCAGCTCCAACCTTGTTGCAAACACACTGTGTATCTATTACAAAGTCCAACCAGTGAATGCTATTTAGGGAAAGAAAAGAAGTAAATGTACAGTTATGCCTGTCTCAATTAAGCACAATGCCATGAGAAGTAGGGGGAGTAGAGGTACAGCTCCATGTATTCTCAACATTGGCACTAGATGGAGGTGAGTGGTCAGCTTCACACCCCATGGGAAAGAGCCCCCACTCTTTAAGGAAATAATCTTTATTTATTCTGATAATGATACCAAATCCATATGTACACTGGGTGGGTAGAATTCAAAGTTTTTTAATGTTAAACCTGATGGTTGATATAATAATCATTTGACTTTAAAGGGTTAATTAGTTAACCCTGTTTTAAAGGGTGATGAATAGCTGCACAACTGGCAGCTTCTCAAGAAGGGCTTAGCTCTGTGAAGTTAGTTTGTTACTGTTTTAAAGGGTTAATTAATTAGAAATAATTAGAACAGCATTTAAAACAAACTGGGTAATTTATTAAAACGTCTGTATAACACAGACCATCAATAATGCAACAGATTGTTCCTTTCTCTTCTACTTATACACAACATGTTTCGGCTTTAGATGGCCATCCTCAGGTGTCTTAATATATCAAAACTGGTACACTGCATTAATATGCGGTAAAATCACACGTTCTGGTGCACTTAATAAAATAAATGCATAAGTGCAGCTGCATTAGTGAAGACAACACCACACGCTGATAGAGGGAACAGTGCACAACAAAAGGCTTATTGCAGATTGCAGACGTAAAAGAACGGGCTAATGAACACATACAATTAGTTAAACAAGCGGACAACACCCCTTGTGAAGTGGAAAAGAATTTCACCAAAGTGATGAAAATTTTAATGGATTTTATTTTATCTTAATTTATTTTATTAAATGCACCACAGCATGTGATTTTACCGCATATTAATGCAGTGTGGCAGTTTTGATATATTAAGACACCTGAGGATGGCCATCTGAGGCCGAAACATGTTGTGTTAAAGTATAAGTGGAAGAGAAAGGAACAATTTGTTGCATTATTGACTGACTGTCATACACAGACTTTTAATACAGGGTGTCCCAGGAATTTGGTGCCATACTTCAGGAGGATACTGAGGTTTCCTTATAGAATAACTTTGAAATATGAACACATGTCCGCAAACGTAAAATAGCAGCGCTAGGGCAGCATTTAAAACCATTTCGTTTAAACTTGGTGCCAAGTTTAAACAAAATGATATTAAATGCTGCCCTAGTGCTGCTATTTTATGTTTGCGGAGATGGATTCCTATTTCAAAGTTGTTCTATAGGGAACCCTCAGTACGCTCCTGAAGTATGGCACCGAACTCCTGGGACATTCTGTATAGCTTGCAACAGGATGCTTAAATATAGAACTGGTAATTTATACTGTGGTCTTCTGAGTAGGTGGTTACCAGCATTTTGGAGGAACCTGTCATCTTCATCATCACATGTACCTTGAAGATGCAAGCAACAGAGTCCTCCAAAACACTGATAACCACCCAACAAACCCCACGATGTCAACACAGAATACCACAATCTAAATCTTCATTGCTGTGAATAGTTTTAGTTATGTAACAACAGCTCACTGTCACTAATCAATCTCTATACATAAAATTACAGTTTTTAATTAAGCACTGAACAGTCTGAACTTTCTGTGTCTCACACTTACACAGATATTGCATGCAAACTGGACAGTACAAAAGGGGAGACCTTGTCCACCTGCTTCTCATTGGAGGTTCACCTTCTGATTTATGGGTACTTTAAAAGCTGATGGAATCACAAGAAATTTGAATATATTTTCAATATCAGACTGACTTCCGTTTAACCCAGATGTTAAAGTATTACTTATATGTAGTAGCTAAATGTGGAAGATAATTTAGTCTGGAAATTCTCTTCTGTTCACAGATCTCAGGAACAATTGAGGATCCCACAGTATACAAAGAAATCAAAGCAGTCCTCCAGAAACTAGGCTATGCTAAAACAGCACCAGATCCGCAGTGATGTTGGGTTGGATGCTGGAACTAAAACTTGCTACACATGCAAACTTCTATTTAGCCCTGGAACAGTCAATATTAAAGTGGCTACTTGAATGAAGTATTAAGCAAGTACTTTCCATCAGGGGCTTCTTGTAGTTCAGCTGTGTGAAGTAAAATGAAAGGGAGGGAGATGGTGTTTCTTCACTGCCCAAGTTGAAAACGTGTAATATTTACAACACTGTCACTTCTATAGTGAAGAGATCCATAACAGAAAGTGTGCAGTCAGAGTACACTTCTTGCTTTCTGTACATTACTTTAATCTCTGTTTATTGTAATCTGTATATTAGAATTGTTTGTCTGTTGTTAAAATAAATACATGAGCTATGTAAACATTCTCTTGGTTACTGGAATGCGTTTTTGATTTCTGATTTTCGTTGTGTTAACTTGTCTGCATATTTTTCGTTCTCCTTTTCAATTCACTGTACTTCTCCCTGCAACACATTCCCACTGCGGGAAAGATTATCAGAAGAAAAATAGGAGCCTGGGGAAATACCTGTGATGTGAGAAGAATGGTATCTGACACTTCACTACCACTGCCATCCACTGATGTTTCCACCAGGGTGAGTCGTCTTACAGCAAACCTTTTCCATTCTTTGTTTTCCCCAAAATGCTCCTCCTCTCATCTGATTTCCCAGATCTGTTTTCCATTTTCCCCTCAGTTAATCTCTCCACCTGTATATTCACTGAAACATCTGCCAACCCATATAACAAAAAAGTTTATACCTTGTCAACAAAAATTGATAACTGAATTTCTAGTAAGATCCACAGGTGTCTCAAAAATGTGTTCTTAATAATCTTATCTAAACTGCACACAGAATGAAATGTACATAAGAAAATAAAAGACAAAATGTGTATTTGTATGAATCTGTATTACACAAAGTAATGAGCTTAACTGAACTTATAACATTAGCCACGGAGTGCCCAGAATTATCGTCACATAAAACATAAAACATGTCGCAGACAAGGGGTGGGATGTATATATTCATAGGGCTAAAACAGTTCGTTCATTCATTCATTCATTTCCTTTATTTTCCATATATCTATACAGGAAAAAAACCTAAGATGTGGAAATAGTCCATTTGATAATAGATGTATACATGTAATAAATTACATAAGTCACACAACTAAAATAATTCAATTCTTTATTATTAATGTGCCGAGTCAACAGCCGCAAGGCCAATTACAGACGCAGCACAGTGCAGATGAATGAGTTACATTATAGACAAACTTATTAAAAGTCAAATACAAATTACTAATAACAATAATAATAATACACACACTAGTGAAGTAACATAGGCAATAGAAAAAAAACAAAAACAAGAAGCTTATTACAATTGTAATTACTAAACATAATTTAAAAAGTGCATTACTATAAAAACTTAGAATTAATACAATTTCAATTAGATTACCCAAATAATTAAATGCTTTCTTTATTTCATTTTCCCATAAGTTGATACAGGACTCGTCATATACATACATACACATCCTCCACTTTCCATAAACATCTATACAGGGAACAGACCTAGGATGCGGAAATAGTTATCAAACACATACACAAAGTAAAGTTGTGTTAATAGTGGTCTCACTGTCTATGGATTGTTGCCAGGACTAGACAGTTACGGGAAACATAGCCTAGCGCTGTATTTTTGTCTGTTTTCACATGTTACTATCTTGGCACAGCGAGTCTTATGCCCTACTCATTCCATTTAATTTTGATCCTTGAGATCAATCATATATCAGAAACGTATAATGGGACACGGTAACTACAGATACTGAGAAAGAAAACAGCTTACAGCTTAAAATGTATGACTTGAAATGAGCTGAAACGCTGTGTTTAAAAGATCAGAGAATAAATATGCCAACCACTGGATGGTCACATCAACAAATTATATTTATTTACATTAATTCCTAAGGAAACAAAAACTATGAAAGTCAGAACTTATTGTGATGTGTAAATCCATTGCTAGGTAATGGCTCATTGAAACATGTCTCTGAGGTTAAGACAGAGACATCGATTTCTAGGCAGCACATACAGAAAAGTTTCCGTTATAACAGCTAGGTAAAGACAGTTCACACAGCAAAGAAAGACATTTCTATGACAACTGCACAAATAATGAAGTGAACTGTTGCACAGAGTGTTTCAAAGGATCTGTTACTTATCTATATGTCATGATTTTGGCCTGCATTCTGGTGATGAGACAGCGACATGTACTTAGTTCTCTCTCCATTTACTTCTAGATCAACCACCTTTTTAGTGTCAAAGTTTTTATGGTTTTGTTTATGGTATCTCTGTTATCTCCCAATAGATTCACATCATCAGCATAGACCAGTAGCTGGTGTGTCCCCTTTCAATTTAAGCCCCACCTGCTTTTCGTGTACCTTCATAATGACATATTCTAAAGCAAAATTGAAAAGCAGTAGTGATAAAGAATCTCTTGTTTTAGACGATTTTGGATAGGAAAATTATCAGACCAATGTTTACCCATTCCTTCAGTTATTTTATTATTTCGGCCACATTATTATGTTCAGTATTCAACTTAGAAACCTGTGCATGTTTATTGTTTTTTTATGTGTTATTAAATGCGATCTTAAGCTCATTAAAAAGAGTGTATTTCAGATTCTTGAGTTTTATCATACCATTGAAATTCAAATAAACTGAAACTTCAGTATTATTGCTTATTATACATGATTTATTTCACAGTAATGTAACCAAAAGCTATGTTCTGTATAGCTGTCAAGTGTAAATTGTGAGCAAAGTTATGAAGTTTAATGAAAGTATCTCTGATAGAAACAGAATTTTCTTTCAAGTTTACCCACCTTCAGCTTTCCGAAACGCAAATATTCTGTGCATGTTATAATTTACACTGTCCATTTCCTTTCCATATGGAGGTACTGGATTGATGTAAATGAAATGTCCATACTTTGTGGGCAGTAGTGAGAAACTTTCTCCTGATGCATATGAGTGATATCAAACTGAGTTAAAAAAAAGAGAAAAAATGGAAAAGAGCCTCTGTAGTAAAAGAGATCATGGTTGAAAAATTATTTGTAGCTGCTCTTGTGAACTAGTTGGCCCGGTTTGTTGTGTAAGGGGGGAGGAGATATTCGTACACAGAGGCTGGTGATATGATAGGGTACCTCCTTATCAACCTTGCTATGGGCGCTCATGGGTGCAATTTTGCATCAATACACTTGCAGCTGAATATAGAAGCAGCATTTGTGCTTTCGTGATATCACAACTGCTACTTAGCCAGGCAATAACATTGAGGTGCCAAGGGCTGATGCCTGTAAATAGAGAAGTTAAGGCCTCTGGACCCCTCCAGATCCTCTAGACTGGACTGATGAAGATGAATATATCAGATTTTTTTATATAATTAAATGCAGTCTTAATCTTGTTGACAAGAGTGTATTTCACATTCTCCAGTTCCATCATTCTAATGAAAATAATAATAAATGGGAACATGAGTATTGTTGCTTACAGTACATGATTTATAACACTTAAATGTAACTGAAACCTATGTTCTGTATGGCTTTCAAGGGTAAGTTATGAGGAAATTATGAGGTTTAATATATGTATCTATGATGGAAACAGAATTTTCTTTCAAGTTTCCCCACCTTCATATTTCCTAAATACAAATATTCCATGTATGTTACCGTTCACAATATTCAGTACCCATGGTTAAAGAGGTGTTTCATGTGAAAGAAAGGTTTATGACTTTCCAGGCACTGGTGAGAAACTTTCTCCAGATAAATAATTTGCAACCTACTCTCTTGTACTCCAGAGCTGTAGAGGCTCTTATTCCGTTGTTATTTTATTTTGTGGAAAGGGGGAGGACCGAGTTTAATAGCATTTCACTCAGATCCAACCCAAAGGATATGGGTGAAGTGATATTGAACTTACTTATGGAGCTGAGCCCTTCTTGAGAAGCCGCCAATTGTGCTGCCACTCAAGAATATCCCAGGTTTTATGGAACCCGAACGTTCATTACTGTGTTCACAAGAGCCCTCCACTGGTCTATATCCTGAGCCAGATCAATCCAATCCATACCATCCCATCCTGTCTCTCTAAGATCCAATTTAATATTGTCCACCCACCTACACCTTGGTCTTCTCAGTGGTCTCTTTCCTTCTGGGTTTCCCACCAATATCCTATATACATTCCTCACCTCCCCCTACATGCCCTGTCCATCTCATCCTCCTCGACTAGTGAAATTGAACACAGTTCAAAAAAAAGAAATAGGTTGTGGGGGGCGGAACCTCCGCCGTATAAGAGATCTGGTTGTAAAAGTATTGATACTCTAGCGAGCGAAGCATCCCGGGGGGGGAGCACTCAAAAGCAGTTGCTATGTTAGCATACCTTCTTACCGACTGCGCTCTCGGCCCTGTTGGCCACTTTAAATTTAGTTAATATAGGATTCGTAGAGATGGCAGCAGCATTGCTCCGTGGTGTCATGGCGACATGGCGGCCATGTTGCCACCAATAACATGAGAGTTTCACGGGAATGGAGGTAAGGGTGGTAAGTGCTACGCGTGCTGCCTACGTTATTAATTGCTTCGATGGCTTTGATTCCCAAGTCAGGTTGGTCTGTTGGGATGGGACAAGGGGAGTTTGGTTATGTTAAATTGAATTAAGGTTACAGGATTTTAATTAATTAGTAATATTCGCTAATATTTACGTACGTTGAGGTAGTGTGACGTTACAGGTGTGGTATGTTTGTAATGTAAAAGCTTTCTGTGTGTGCTGTGATGATTTGATATATATTTGTTCAGTAAGCAGGAGACGACTGTACTTGACAAATACTGTTCATTGTACATCTTCGTGAATATATAAATCTGAATCATATAGACTATTATTAGAGGTGCAGCTGCAGTTCTGCAGTTGGGTCAGTTGGGTTATGGTTTGTGATAAAAAAACAAAAAACCAACGACTGACTCGATGATGTAAATCATCACTTGAAGAATTTTTATTCTTGTTTTATATAATCTAAATTATTGTATTTTTACGCCAAGTATTTTAATATAATTAATATTATTGTATCCAATTTTATTAGTACTGCAGTTCAGTGGTATATATATATGTTAGCCATGTATTTGCCTGATGATGGCTTTTAATAGCCGAAACATGTAGCAGAGCCACACTAGGCATTGACCTTAATATAGTTGTGTTGTGACGGTTTTAATAAAGAAATTGCAGGTTTATATGATTAGTTATTTGTTAGAAGAAAAGGTTAATATTATTACAGGTACTTACGAAACAGCACTTCACAATATAGATTAGTTTGTATTTGGCTCATGAAATGTGGCGTTGTAGGATAGTTTAAAAATAGATACAAATTTTGTGTTAAACACTTTT